ATTTTATTGTATTAAAATCACCTCAACTTTTGAGTAATTACTAACAGTGCTATCATGCGAATTGAACGATTGTTGTGTCTGAATATGGATACAGCTTTCCGTCATCGCTAAAAATAAACCGTACTGTATCTTTGATATGAGGTTCTTATTACATTAGAACTGTTTAATAAAGGTTAAATTAGACACCATGCATTGTGTAAAATTTTGACAATATCGAACGTAAATATATAAATACATGTACATGTATGTGACTTCATATTTGCATATAATTTCGCCAGTGTAAAAGCAGTTCTGTGGTCTACTGGTATGTCTCTCGCTTCACATGTGAGAGGTCCCGGGTTCGAATCCCGGACGATCCATTTACTTTTTTTTTTTCGAAATACTTTTTTTTTTTACTAAATGATAGTATTCAGCATGTGGAATGAAAAATTTATGAGGTCTGGCTTGTACAAACCCATAAAATCATTATTACAGTGTGATAAATATTCCATGTAAAAAGAATCTTCTATACACATAATAAAGAATAAGCAATCAAATCTTTATATGCATATTGACATACATGTATTTTATTTGCTTCAGTATACATGTATACTTCTAATAATTCTACAAATTCAGTCAGGGGGATCCGACTTTTTCCCTAAGCGGGGGACACAAATTCTCTGAATTAGCTTGTTTAGCTTTGAATTTTGAAAGAACTAAAATAAATATTAATATTGCTGGTGTTGATTTATCTAAAATAAAAAGGAAAGGAAATTTTTATATTTTCTTTAAATTCAAGACTTGCTTTTTATTGTAGACACATAAAAATTAAACATCATCATATAGTCCTGGAGCTAGACTGTAATCAAGATAAGCCCTGTTACATGTTTAATGTAGAGCATTAGTGTTTTAACAGCTCTAGAAGTCTCTTCAACCTATTTCAGTGTCCCTTAGAGGTGGGTGTGTTATAACAAACTCCCCATTAGCTAACTCCCAGTGTGACTTTGCTATACAAGTTGTGTTGACCCCCCCCCCAAAAAAAATCTTACCAGTCAGTATACCTGTGTAGCAATGGGTGTGTTATAACCCTGTCAGTCTACCTGTGTAGTTTATTTGTGTAATAACAGACCCCCTTCCTTTCTCTCAGTGTGACTTTGTTATAGAAAATATATCAGGCCCCCTCCCCATAGAATTCTTACCTGTCAGTCTCCCTGTGTGGTAGGGTGTGTGTTATAATAGTCTTCCCTTTCTGTTTCTCAGTGTGACTTTGTTATGGGTGAAGGTGGGAGGTGTGTTGTGCCCCCCCCCCCGACCCCCGACCTCCAACCCCTTTCATGACTCTCACCTGTCAGCCTGCCTGTGTAGTAGTGGGTATGCTGTAACAAGTGTTTTCTCTCTGTTCCTCCCCCATCCACAGATATGACCTCCAGGGATGGGGTAACTACACTGGATTTTGTCAGCTTTATTTCAAAATTTCTGAAAAAAAGAAAAAAAAAACAATTTCACAAATTAAGCCATTCTCCATTTATATCTATGGATACCTATGTGACTGAGGACTAAGTACTATGCATAATTATGTTTAGATACTTAAAAAATAAGCTATGTTATTTTCTTCAACATATAGGTCAGGGGAAATAATTTTATAGTTACAGTGTACCTTGAAATGGCTTTACTCAGTAAGTGATGGTTGAATCTCTAGTCATTATTCTCTGGGAGTTAATGGTAATTCATGGTAGATTCAATGAATCAATATGTTTATTAAAAAAAAAAAAACATTCATGGGGCTGCAATGGTGACCCAAGAAATTCACACCTTTGACTCAGGTAAGCTAAAAATGTACGGCAAAATTGATAGGGCAAATACGTAACTAAATTTAAAGTATAAGTATGGTATCAAGTACATATATATAGTTTTGTCATGCTGCAAAAACTGACTGTTGGCAGATAAAAAAAATTGCCAAAAAATAAATTGTTATCATTTCCTTCAAAATGTTAGAGTTACAAGTATCTTTTTTTTTATATTCCGATGCAATTTTTGTGCAGTCAGTAGATTGTGAGTCTCTAGGTGCAGCGAGGATACCTGATTGATGCTTTTTGATGAACAATGTACAGTATTTTAACCCAAAGTCTAGTACATGTATTATGAAGACTCTTGTATATATTTCAACTGTATTTGGGCATAAAAGTTATCACACATATAAGGACACTAATCTGTATATTCCATGCCGATTGTAAATGTACGTGCAGGTATGAATTAATACAATATAGATGTTACAAATCATATTTTATGCAACTAAAAAGAGTTGTTATTTTAGCTAAAAGTGCTAATAGGTGCTAATTTTATATTGCATTATAAATATCATGGACATACAAAAACAAAAGAAGAAAAATTGTGGTAGCTATAGCTAAATAAAACATAGTTTATTGTCAAGTTTTTCAGGTACTAGTATTATTCAGTGAATACAAGTACAAGTATAGTTTGTTTTATGATCATTGCATGTTGTTTTGATGATTTTGTCCTATTTGTATAAATAAGAACAAAGCAGTGTGTAAGATTAATTAAAATAATAATAAAATAGAACTTGAAAATATTTTTTTTCTTATAAAAATGAAAACCTAATTTGACATTTTAATATTTCAAACTCAATTTTGCTAATACATGTAATAAAATGAAAGGAAAAAGAAAAGCAGGGTAAACTTTTGAAGTGATTTTTGTTCAAGTTTTTTGGTCAAGTATTTTTAACTTACAATTAGTATTTTCTTTAATTAACAAATTACCAAAATCTCATTTATTCAATTTAGACTCAGTATGAAATCCATATGACGGAACCCCCTTAAAATGAAAATAAAAATTCTCAATATCTACTTCATGCTATATCAAAAAAATTATTTTCTGTTGCATGGACTTCTTCAATGGATTTTTCTTTCTCATAGGGAAATTTATTTAACCCTTCTGATAGGACAACCCCTAATTGAACAAGATTAGCAGGACACCTTAATTAAAATCCTAGCATTTGGTTAGCCCTACACATTTTTGATTGGAGAAAAAGATTAAATTTACCGATGCTAGTTGATTTGGTAAATGTAAAATAATTTATAAGCAGAATTTTTAGCAAGGATTTAATTTTGGCATTATTAGAGAGGGTGTTGAGATTGCTAAAATTAAATATCGCTAAAAATTTTATTGCAGTTTATCTGAATTTGCTTCCATATTTAGCATTTTAAAATCGCTAAAATTACATCTTGCTACGTTTAAAGTACCAAATGAATTTTCTAGGACATATCGCTAAATTTGCCTCTCGAAAAAAATTTCCACTTATATGGTAATATGTATGAAAAAATGTTACCTTGCATTTGACTTTTTCCTTTCAATATATAAATATAATTGAGAATATAAATTTGCCATTAATGTTCCCAACCCCAAAATTACCCATGCATTTTGATGAGAGTTTAGAAAAGAAATATTTAGTAATAACATGATCACGTTTTTTTTAGAAGAACTGATCCGATGAACATCATCATCCAATGTTTACTTTTTGTTAAAAATTTTATATATTTGAAGATGTAGATTTAAGCATACTTTAAAAACACTTTCCGAACCTTGAATGAATACTTTTTGTACCCACCTCTGAAAGGCTTTGAACTTCATCCAATGATAACTGTCTAAAATTGGCAATTTAATATCTTTTTGTCCTACTAGCAAAATGTCCTGTAGCTTCAGAACTTCATACCGATGTAGCCTATTCAGTGGTTCACCTGTAATATTATTCAATAAACAATTATGACAGTAAAACAAAGTTTCCAAGGAAATAAACTTGGGCAGTAGGGCTGTGTCAATATATTGATTTAAATCAATATGTATAAATATTCAGGAATGTATTGTATGAAAAAATAACCTTCAATAGCAATACGTATAAGACTGGCAGTTTTGGAAAAAGTTGGAAATTCCAGTCACCAAAGATTACCTGTACGTATTTTTAACTGTTTTTATATATACCGCTGTATAAAATATCGTATACGCAACCCTTAATCTCAGCGAGATCCATAGAGACTAAAAATTTGGTCTGGTGTCTCTATGGATTACAGACCAGTGTCACATTATCTCATTCCTGTCCCATTTACAAAATAATATTTAATTTAAACTTCAAAACATTGAAAATTCTCAGTTTCTTGGTTAAACAGGTTGGGACCAATCGCTCAAATGGGATATAATAGTCCACTTGGGATATAATATCCCAAATGGGCTATAAATTTACAGTGCAAAAATTGAAAATTTTTATTTTGGCTATAAATATCATAAATCTGCATCAGGACACTTAAAAAGGAATAACTTTTGGTTGACAGGTTTTCCTGCATGTCCATTGTTTAGAAGATTGATCCCTCGGAAGTTCCGTACCTTCTTGGCGATCATTATCTAACAAATGGTAGGGTTGCAGAAAAACTTGCTTACCGAAAGTTATTCCTTTTTTAAGTGCCCTGATGCAGATTTATGATATTTATAACAAAAATAAAAATTTTCAATTTTTGCACTGTAAATTTATAGCCCATTTGGGATATTATATCCCAAACGGACTATTATATCCCATTTGGACGATTGGTCCCAACCTGTTAAAGAGATAAACTGCAATGGCATGGTAAAGGTTTAATACAACCATGAGAATAAGAATCAAAATGACAATGCCTAGATAGACCGTTCTATTGTTAAAATTATATAACACTACGGACCTGGCTTTAACGTGTGAGGGCTTGTCCCGAGAAACATTATTCAAACTAGACACTATGACAATGCTGAGCAGAACACTAGAGTTCTAATCAAGAGTAAACTTTATTTTGTTTTATCTGTGTAATTTTTTGTAGCATTACCTTTTGTAAGTAGGCCCACAATGGTCCATGTTATGAGGTGTAATATAATTTTTATGAGAATGATAATCATCATACATTTTTCTTTGCTTCAAATCAAAACGAAAGTAGGGGGAAAAATTAAAATCGTATCCCGAACCCGATGTAAAGCAAAGGAGAAAACCCTTGAACTGTTGACCATATCACGCATTTATCCAGAAGCCATGATTCTTAAAACTCTTTTTGGTATTGCATTGGCATTATCCATAACATTTATTTTTAAAACGATGTAAGTAAAAGCAAAAATCAAATTGACCTAGTCACCATAGAAAATATTTCTAAATATTGTTTATGTGATTCGAGTAACCAACAGGTCCAGTCCAAAGACTATTTCTACCTACGTAGGTATTAATAGCTACGTAGGTATTTAAAGCTAACTTTCTGCTTTACCTCCATTTTGTGGCCAAATGCAGGAACGGCGCAACATGGTGAGCACAATTTCAGTCACACTGATGATGAATATGACAAAAATTTGGCCAAAAAATAAAAACTTCGTATATTATCAATTTTGCATAGAAACTAATGTAAAATTGCTGATTCAGGAAATAATCATTTTTTGGCAAAAATTTTGTCTTATTCATCATTAGTGTGACCATATAAAAAAATATGGTATTTACCATGTTGCGCCGTTTGGTCTTTTGGTCGCAAAATGCATAAATTATATAAAGTAGGTAAAAATAGCTACTTTTGGTATTGCCTACATAGCTATTAATACCTACGTAGGTAGAAATAGTCTTTGGACTGGACCTGACCAAGTCAACCCGCCAAAATTTCCTGTAAAGTTTGCTTATATCAAATTGATAGAATTTATTTGTTACTGTTTGGAAATGCATGTACCTATGCATTGAAAATTGGTGCCCCAGACACAAAATTACAAAAAAAGTCATTTAATTGCACCATATTCAGAGAATTTTATAACAGAGGATTACATGTATCGTATGATCATGGTTAAATATATTTCAGTCTGTTAATGGACTACCACAAAACCCTGTGGAACCATAGACCAGGGAAATGTCACATTGTGGAAGGAATAGGTAACATAATGGTGTATCTGAGATTTTATTTAATGATCATCTGAAAAAAAGGTTTTCTCTCATATCGTGCATTCAAATTATATTGTAACAGTATATGATTGTATCACACGTTAACATGTACATAATGTGCACATACATTTTAGTGTATATATTATATTTATTATCACTTCCAATGTATAATTGGTAATTGATTATGAAGTTTGGTAAAAAAAAAAATTGTTTGAAACATCTATTCTATGCTGGTAATTGCATGATTATAAAGTTTGGTAAATAAAAAATAGTTTGAAAGATCTATTCTATGCTTTTTTTTTTAAATATATTATATATTTTTCACTTAAATGAATAAAATGATTTTTAAGCACACATCTGTATCTTGTAGACCACGGTTCTGAGGACATGCAGACCACCAAGTCTGGTCTGACTTTCATCACCTCTGTAAGTTTTCAGGATTTTCTATAAGTTAAAGAAGTATAGTATAGACACTGAATCAGTCCTGAGCTCATTAAAGGTCAAGTACGGTAAAAATAGATCTTAAAAATAATGTTTATAATTCATTAAAAGCATTAAATAAAAGTTTATGGTGTTTTTGTTTTTTAAAAAAATCCCAGATATAAACGCAAAATACCTGTTCAAATATCGTTATTTATAGACATGGGCGATAGAGTTATCGCATTTTTTCATGACGTCATCAGAGACAATTGCTGTATAAGCGCTATTCTATAAACAGCCAATAACTGATTAAAATGAATAGTTTTAACGCTGAACCGTGTTATTGACGGTAAACTCGAAGATCTACTTGAATTTACAGATTCAACCAATTATGTGTGAGCCCATTACGAAGCAATCAGAATATGTTAGGCCTACCTACATGGATAAGTCATCGAAGTTAGAATCCGAGAATAATGAAAGTAAAACGGGAAATTCTCCAAGAAGCAGTGATTTGTTGTGTTTTTTGTATTGAAAATAAATTGAAAACATGTTCAAAGACATTCAACATGAAAATCGAAATCTTTAGGGCATTATTTGCATCTATGTAGAATCAGAGTTCTTGAAATCTATCGGTCCTGTCGGCAAGACCGATAAAAACAACCAAGGACCGATCACTTTACATTCTGTGTCAGTCCAAATGACCGGTAGATGTTGAGAAAGCAACTTACGAAAATCCGATTAAATTTCGTACGAATTCCCTGTAACCGACCGATTATAATCTGTTAAACGTTTTTCAGTATCTCGTAATGGCTTCTTCGATGAATGCAAGTACCAAACTATGATTGATTAATTGTTTAAACAAGTTTTTGACGCCGATAAGGTATTAGCCAGGTGAAAAAAATCAAATTAAGATTAAAATCCTATGAAGAAAATCGACCTCCCACAGGAATTTAACGAAATTTGTTATACGATGATCAAATTCGCATGAAGTATGGAGTGTGTATTGACGGAGGGTGCCAAATGTAGTGATAATAAAATTCAAATACAGTTTTAATCTTCTTAAAATTATGTTTTATTATTTTGTTGGACTGATAGAAATCTGTCTGGACCGACAAACTTCCTGTGGCAGTCAGTCCAAATGACTGACAGTGGAAAAAAGATTTCAAGAACTCTGAGAATATATTGTTTTTGTTCGTTAGATTACTAATAAATAAACTAGTAGACTCGATGAGTGTTGACAGATGACGAAAAATTCAAATCGTTTAAATATTAATCTCCCTCTATTTGACCTTTGAAAAATTTCATAACACATTATATGATATTCTCCATCTGTCAAAATACAGATATAGCACTGGATTTTACATTTTGCAGAAATTTAAATTTTTTGAAAAATTTAAATCGTTTAAATCTCCCTCTATTTGACCTTTTAGATATTTCAAAACACATTGTATGATGTTCTCCATATGTCAAAATACAGATATGGTACTCAATTTTACCTTTGGAAGCAATTTAAATTTTCTGAAAAAATTAAATCGTTTAAATCTCCCTCCATTTGACCTTTGAAAGATTTCAAAACACATTGTATGATATTCTCCATCTGTCAAAATACAGATGTAGTACTTGATTTTGCATTTGGCAGAAATTTAAATTTTTTGAAAAATTTAAATCGTTTAAACCTCCCTCTATTTGACCTTTGAGATATTTCAAAACACATTGTATGATGTTCTCCATATGTCAAAATACAGATATGGTACTCAATTTTACATTTGGAAGCAATTTAAATTTTTTTGAAAAATTTAAATCGTTTAAATCTCCCTCTATTTGACCTTTGAAAGATTTCATAACACATAATATGATATTCTCCATATGTCAAAATACAGATATGGTACTTGATTTTACATTTAGCAGAAATTTAAATTTTTTGAAAAATTTAAATCGTTTAAATCTTATTCAATTCGCACTTTGAGAGGTTTTAAAACTAATCTTTTATCATAATAAATATTTTAATGAAAATCTAAGGCACAATCTTATCTCATCTTATCGGAAATTGGACGGGAAGACCCACTTGTTGCTTGCAACGAGATCGTATCTAGTCTTATAATTATTATTCTTACCGATTTTGTGCACGCGATTTCTTGTAAATGCGTATTGATAGTCAGCTGTGAAACCATGTAAACAATTGTTAGTAAAGTTAAGAGTGATCAGCAAATAATTCTATGGCCGCTTGTGGTTGCTTCAAATCGTATCACCCCCCCCCCCCATTTCAATCAAAATAATTTTTTTAAAAACTGAATATTCAGCATGCGAACATGTCTCATTTTTTATTAAAAAGGCGGCGTTTAAATCTAAATAAAACAACAAGAGAATCCTGCGATAGAAATTACGATGGCCGTTCAAAAATTAAGCAGACTGGTTGCACAGAAAAAAAAATTGACGGCATAATCATGCAAAATGTCACATTTAATATAAACGTTATTTACCCATATGGTCTTCAAAATTTCATATCCAAATGTTGTAAATTGATATCAATTTTTGGTGATTTATCAGGACATATCATAAATTCACGGAGCAAAATCTTCGTCGTCAGAGCATTATAAAAAAAATATTAGCTTTCATTTTCTCAACATTTTCCCAAGAGTTCCTGTTAAGCTTTAGTTACCCTATCTACTCAACATACATTCACTATTTCTTGTCAGGCTTAAAATCTATAAAACAATTAAAGCATATTCTTTTTTTTTTGTTTTAATACCAAAAACTGCAGGTACGTATTTATGAGATATAGTGTGACATTAATTAATTGGTCACTCTATTTTTACAGTCCGGATAAAGTTTTCGCACATGCGCCTGAAGTATGGATCGATACCCCCCTCCTCTTTTTTAATAAAAAAAATTGTAAGAGCATAAAATATCTCAAAAATATAAAACTTCCCCGTAAATCACATCTGTATGTCGTTCTATGCAAGCAGATTGTGCGTTTTTCACATTTAGAGAATGCCCATACTTCTGGCGCCCCTGGGTATTCCCCACCAGTATTAATCCTTCTTCCGTATCACCATAGAAACCTATAACCATGCAAAATCCTGCTGAGGATCTAGGAACTTCACATAGAGAACTATGAATAAACCTTTCTCGTGACTTCATGTCCTTAATTTCAATATACATTCTCATGCTTCCCCCTCACCAACTTTTTATATTAAAAAAAACACGTAATTTTACTTGTACCTTGACGACATTGTGAGTGAATTTATGACTTTGAACACATACTCTGTGCAATCACCATTTTCACAATGTAAAGGTTTTGCGATTTCGGAAGATGTATCGGTGTTGAGCACCCGACAGATGAAAAGCAGCGAAAGTCTTGGAATTTGTTGCAATGTAGCGATTTTATTGAACTCCTTTGTCTTATCTTTTAATTACTTAGAGTGCTTTGAAAAATAAGATGAGACAAAGTAAATATGTTTTAATTTTTAATACAAAGTCCAAGTTAACTAAAAAAAAAAAAAATTAGATTTACCGGGTACGTGTAATAATTTATATGCTAGTATTTTAAGAACACAATCTACTCTCTGCATTTTTTTCAGTGCAAACTGAATAACTCTCCACTTCCCATACAAAAAAATCAGTATAAAATTAATCAATCTGGTTTGAAATAATAATGTGTATGGTCACTTTGTTTTCAAGATACGTGTGTATTTTTTTTTTGTCTTTACTTGCTTACAGATAGATTAACTAAATATCATAAATTCATGTATTGAAATTTTACGGATTTTGTTAATGCGCTGCACACAGACGATATAGCATACTGTGTCCTCTAGGCCTATCTCTTTTGGGTCGTTCGAGAAAAGAAATAAACTAAAACACTCTGTATAGATTTTACATAACATTTAAAAGCTGCGCACTGCACTATAACCCTGTAAAGGATTTTTAAAAAGCACATGTAAACGACCAGTTATCTCCTAATCTGTCTTTCGCTGAGTCTCGCTTTATTCAAAAGTTGTCTCTGATGACGTAATACGTTATGGGCGATAACTCGCGTCACTAAAAAATATTGATAGCCCAGGTAAATTTTAATCGCGCAGCAGTAGTCATACCAGGCGGTTTTCAATTAAACAGCTAACGGAATTTAAATCATATGAGACCGGTAGACAATTATGTATATATTATTCCAATTTTACAAAAATCTCCATACTTGACCTTTAAACAGAGCAGATTGAGTAAATTGTACTATATAACTCAACAAAGAGAGGAGAAACAGAAAGTAAAAAAAGAGCTAGAATTCAAGTGGAAAATGTGACTCGATCACTATCTCTTTTTAGCATGAGTGATCATGGTGATAATTCCATTAAAACCCTGTATTTATTTTCACCCCCACCTCCCTCCCACTCCCCTTATGTTAAAGTTCTGTTATTGTCAATTTTGTATTGCTCTGCCTTTTGACATTTTGTCCTTTGTTTATGGTATTTGACAAGTAAATTGTGTAAAAGTTTTAAAACCCCCCTTTTTTTAAGGGAATAAATGGAGTTCTCTTTGGATCATCATTTGATGAATATTACAAGAAGCACAATGTACGAGGGAGAATCATGCTATTTGATATGGAGAAACCAAAAGATGGTGTCAAAGAATTAATGATTATTGGAGACAAGTTCAGTTACGATGACTTCTATCCTCATGGAATCAGTGTGCTGGAGCACAAAGGTAACACACCAATGTGTGATGTCAGTAACTCATTCAGGAATCAATTACATTTGTATTTTAATTCTGAATATCTGATGATATTTCCAAAGAGAAGGAGGAGGTTCAGCGAAATTCATAATGAGCGCATTTTTCCCTTTCGTGTCAACAGAAGCAAAACACTGAATATTTTGAAATAATTTCACATTTCACTCAAAAATATAACTATATCATGTATTATAAAATACAAATTGGACATCTTAATTGTGTTTGTCAATTGTTGATTTTCAAACAGGTAAAATCTTACTCTTTGTTGTTGTGCATCGAAAGGAACTTGACACGGTGGAGAAATTTGAATTCCTGGAGAAGACCTTAGAACTGAAGCACCTGGATACTTACACTGGAGATCTTGTACACCTGTAATGCTTACTCTTGTTTTTAAATTAGAATGATAGATTAACTTTTACATCTTGATAACAAATCAGTAGTTATGAGTAATTTGTGACTGCAGTTGAAGCCAATTCATCCTTCAGTTAAAGCTTTTACTTTCTTTTTTAGACTGAATGATGTGGCGGCAACTGGACCAGACTCGTTTTACACCACAGACTATGGCTATTACCACAATCACTTCGGACATACCTCAGAAATCTTTCTAGGGCTCTACTTTGGACATGTTCTGTACTACAATGGTCAGAATTTCACGATAGTTTCAGAGCCAACACACATGGCTAATGGCATTGCTCTGTCCAGGGATGGGAAGTAAGAGAGAATTTACTTGTCTTTAGTGAACAGAATAATTCCTGAGGCCTGTTCAACAGAGCGAACATTCGCAAGTGCTCGTCAAAATTCCTTATCCGTCAAACAGGAATGCTCGCGCAGAGTTCTTGAAATCTTTCGGTCCTGTCGGCAAGACCAATAAAAACATCCAAGGACTGATAACTTTACGTTCAGTGTCAGTCCAAATGACCGGTAGATGTTGAGAGAGCAACTTGCGTAAATCCGACTAAATTTCGTACGAATTCCATATAACCGACCGATCATAATCTGTTAAGCGCTTTTCAGTATCTTGTAATGGCTTCTTCAATGAACGCAAGTACATGTACCATACTGATTGGTTTGGTTTGGTTTGAACATATTTTATTGTTTAGATGTTATAACAAAAGGATTGGACACAAGTTCTTAAAACTTAGAACGTCCTCTCCTTTATAACAATTAATTACACAAAGTATTGTTCAAAAATTAATTTACACTGGAACCAAAGGTCAATAAGATTATCTAACATTGGTAATGCATGTACAAAATTTAAATTGATGTAGTATGTACAAACAAATCTTAATACATTCAAAAACGACCAGATCTCTTGATAAACAATTGCACATTTAAAAATAAACTTTCATTTTAAGAAATACTGATCGAATTATCTCCCCATAACAGAACATGAGTGTCTACAATACGTAAGTTAATCATTCTAAAAACAGCATTGAACAGGTCGTTTCTGAGGGCAGTGTATTTCGCACAAGAGAAAAAGAAATGATATGCGTCTTCTATTTTTCCACAAGTGCATAATGGACTATCAATAATATTCTTTATTTAGAACACAATTGTGTCTTAATCTAATATGAATTACTCTCCAGTAACAATCACCAAAAGTAAAACTGATTGATAAACTGTTAAAACAAGTTTGTTGATGGCGCTAAGGTAAGCCAGGTGAGAAAATTGAACTAGTTTAAAAGCTTATGAAGAAAATGGACCCCCACGAGAATTCAACGAAAATTATTATACGATGATCAAATCGGCATGAAGTGTCACTTGTGCAGTGTGTATTGTCTATTGATGCAGGGTGCAAAATGTATTGAAAATAAAATTCAATTACAGTTTTCATCTTTTTATTGATTTTTTTTTTGGACTGATAGAAATCTGTCTGGACTGACAAGCTTTCCATGGCAGTCAGTCCAAATGACTGACAGCTGAAAAAAGATTTCAAGAACTCTGCTCGGGAGCGCTCACTCTGTTGAACAAGCCTCTGCTGTACTCTGTGATGTACGTATTGGAATCTTTTTATTACAGGCTCGTGTATGTTGTCTCTAGTTCTGGTAAAAAAATTATGGTGTTTAAACGAGAGGCAGATAACAGACTCACCAAAATAAATGTAAGTTGTGCTCACAATTATCATGATTATTACTTGTTCTTCTCAGTAATTGAGTGTCACCATTAATTTTCAAATGAATGAATTCTGGAGTATAATTTTATTCTCATCTTATGTTCAAATAAAATGTAAAGCAATATACATGTACAGTAATGTGTTAGAAATGAATACTTGTTCAAAACTGTATTTGATTTTTATGCCCCGCCATGAACATGGCCGGGGCATATAGTTTTTGTCATGTCTGTCTTCCGTCCTTCCGTCACACTTGCATTTAGCTCTGTTCAAAGCTAAGTTTCAAAGAAACTATCCAAGATATTTTCATCAAACTTCACATGATGATAGATATTGATGAGAGCTATGCAACTGCTTCAACATTTTTTGACCTTGACCTTTCCTTTGACCTTGACCTCACTTTTCTTAAATTAGTGTTTAGCTCAGTTTTAAACATACCATTCAGGATGTTGTTATCAAACTTCACATGTTGATACATACTGATGAGAGTGATTCAATTGCATCAACATTTTTGTCCTTGACCTCTCCTTTGACCTTGACCTCACTTATCTTTAATAAGTGTTTCGCTCAGTTTTGAAGATACCATTCAAGATATTTTTGTCAAACTTCATATGCTGTTACATATTGATGAGAGCAATTCAACTGCATCAACATTTTTGACCTTGACCTTTCCTTTGACCTTTTGACCTCATGTTTCCCAAATCAGTGTCAAACTTCATATGCTGATACATACTGATGTAAGCAATTCAACTGCATCAACAATTTTCACCTTGACCTTTTATTTGACCTTGATCTTACTTTTATCAAATTGTGTTTAAGTCAGTTTAAATTAAAGACATCTTTCTAGATATTTTTATCAAACTTTATATGTTGATACATATTGATGAGAGATATGCAACTGCATCAACATTTTTGACCTAACATTTCCCAAATCAGTGTCAAACTTCACATGTTGATACATACTGATGAAAGCAATTCAACTGCATCAACAATTTTTACCTTGACCTTTCTTTTGACCTTGACCTCAATTTTATCCATTTGTGTTTAAGTCAGTTTTAAAGATACCATTTATAATATTTTTATCAACTTCATATGCTGATACTTAGTGATGAGAACTTTTCAACTGAATCAATAGTTTTTTACCTTGGCATTTCCTGTGGCCTTGACCTCACTTTAATGAAATTAGTGTCAAACTTCATATGTTGATACATACTAATGTAAGCAATTCAACTGCATCACTTTTAAAGATAATTCTGATCAAATTTCATACACTAATACAAATTTTCATGTTGCATTACTAATATACCCTTGGCGAGGCATTCATGTCCTATGGACATATTTCTAGTTTTAAATCATACTTTACTAAGAACTGGCTGATTCTCTCAAGTCTTGGAAAATCAGAGAATGTGTTCACCTTATAGCCATCTAAAGTTTTAAAGTTGAATTTTAGTTCATTGTCATCTGAAGTTTTAAGACTGAATTTCAATCAAAATTGTCAATTACATGTAACATGTAAAAGTATATTTTTTTCTCCTCTAAGCTATGATCCCTAATGACATTTAAAAAAAACCCAGTTCATTTCATTTTATCTTTGCCAAAAACTATTTAAACTGCCAACGAATTATGTATTTGTTATGCACAAGCTTGTTCAGAGTTTAACAAATTGAATACACCCATGAAACGTAAACTGTTTTTGTAAATAGCTGGGGCACAAGCTCTGTTATTGTTAATGTTTATGAATCATCGGGTGTATTCAATTGTTCAACTCTGCACACACCACTGAGCACAGACTGACAATACTGTGAGAAGATTTTGCTTTCGAACATTTGTACTCTGAATTTTCTGTATTATACTGTAGAAGCACATATTTTCGTGGGGATAAAATTTCGTTGATTTATCATCAAAAATAGTTTCGTTGGCATTTGATTTTGTTGTTTTGAATGTAATCCTATTCAATATATAGTCATACAAAATTTCATGTGGGATTTAATTTCGTTGATAATTGTTAACAACAAAATAAACGAAATTTAATCCCCCACGAATATTTTTTCTTTTACAGTAGTTTTGATATTAATTTTTCATTATTTCATAACAAAATTGCTACTTTTCTTCAGTATTAAGAATAAAATTAAAATTTATGAAAGTGCAAGCTAGGATGTGTCAATTAAATGTGTCCAGAAATTTGAAAATTCAATAACTTTTAGAAAAAATAAGATTTTTATTATACATGTATTTTTGTATGAAATGCTATTATAATAGCAATAAATAAGTCATAAAATTATACAGAAAATTTGAGAAAACATTAACTTTAAATCTGTGTCCAGGCACCTTTAAAGAGCCTTTGGGAAAGAGAGTTAGGTGAAATGACTACCTGAAGAAGGAGGCAGAAATTCACCTATTATTTTCAAAGTCAGAAAAAAATTCCCTGGCTAAGTTATATTTGTAAATTCTGGAGGTTCGAATCTGGCTTACCTTTATTAGGCCTAGAAAAAAAGTATGTTTGTTTCCGCTTTCAGGCTGAAAAAATATAGGGTAGGTCGGTAGGCAAATTTTTTTTTTTTGAAAATTATTTTTACTTCTTTAATCAAAATGTGTATAGAAGTAACATTAATGACAAAAGAAATGGTGTTTTCAAGCATTTCTGTGACTTAAACTTATAATAGAAAGGTGACTCAAACTTCTTTCTGTCTTGAAAATGTTGCGAAGTTGGAGACTATAATTCCCTGGGTGAAATCTTGCACTACATGGGACAAAAGCATTAGAAATTTTTTTAGGGTCAGCACTATAAATTAGGATCGGTCGGGAAAGCGGAAACAAACATATTTTTTTTCTAGGCCTTACTGCAGATGTGATTTCCATGTATACATTTGAGTATATGTTTGCCCTATACATTGATATCCCTCTAAGAAAACATGCAGTAATGCAAATTATTTAAGTTGAACAATATTTCTCTGGAACTGTTTAAAATTTTTATGTACAGGTGATTGACCTTGACACAATTCCTGACAATCCAGTGGTGGATCCAAAAACAGGAGACATACTACTGGGCTGTCATCCAATAGCATTTAAAACTTTACAACATCAGAACGACCCCAGTCAACCCTCAGCTTCACAGGTGTATACTTTAATTTACCTATCACAGGAATTGTAAATCACTTTCTATTTGCAAGAACTTTATTTCTTTCTAATTATGCACACCATTAACTTTCAAAATTTTCATTTTTACTAAGAAAAGTCATACACAACAGTTTTAACAATTTCTTTGCAAAATACCTGTACCATTAAAACAAAGCATATTAAAAATCAAGTGACCTATAGTATATTGGTACACTTTGGCTTTTTATGTTAAGGTCGTATAATCCCATCCTTTCATTGAATCACAATAATATTAGGCCCAAGCTAGTGTCACACGTCTTAACTGCATTCCGGTTTGTAGAGGATAACCTAGCATTTACATGTAGGTGGAAGATGTTTGTCTCTACTGATCAGACAGCTAGCTTTGTTGCTGATTGCTAGATAACCTAGCAGCTAGGTGGAAGATGTCTGTCTCTACTGATCAGACAACTAGCTTTGTTGCTGATTGCTAGATAACCTAGCAGCAAGGTGGAGGATGTCTGCATGCCTCTACTGATCAGACAACTAGCTTTGTCGCTGATTGCTAGATAACCTAACAGCTAGGTAGAAGATGTCTGTCTCTACAGATCAGACAGCTAGCTTTGTTGCTGATTGCTAGATAACCTAGCAGCTAGGTGGAAGATGTCTGCCTCTACTGATCAGACAGCTAGATTTGTCGCTGATTGGTAGATTGTGGATAAAAAATTATCAGAAAAAAAAATCATTTTGGAACAGAAAGAGTATTTCCCTCGAAAATATGTGTCAATTTTACATTTAATTAATTTGTTAAGATGTAGAAAACAATCTCCCTATTTGATAAAATCTTGTGCACTGCATTGTGGGAACTAACAAGACAATCTTGGATTTGGTACTTACTAGCTCTATCTGAGTAGTATCTAGGCTAGCTTTCATTCAAGAGTTTAGCTTTGCGTAGGGGCTATTTAGCAGCTACACTGTTGAACACACCCTAGGTAAATCGAAACATTATTCAAGTTATTTTTTAAGTATTTACTGTGTCAGCAGGCTCAGTTTTGGGCTACATTCTTAGACTGAGTCCATGCAGACTTTTCATAGGTCAATTTATGTTTTTTTGTAAACGATGGTTGAAAGTTTATTTAAGACCAAGATAACAATTAAGCTTCATAGAATAAATAAATTATTTTTCACCTGTAGAGTTGCATGACAGACATTAATGGTCTCTTCATGCCTTAAAAACAACAAAAATTGAACCCCTGCAAAAATTTAGTAATTCCACATTAAGGTTATAACTGTTTATAGCAGCTGCTTAATTATTTACACATGGATATTAGCAATATTAATAGAATGGTTAATTTAGTATAATTACAAATTGTTCTCTGCGTGTGGTAATGTCACAGCTATGGTTTTCATAGAATGGTCATTTTTCTACAGTTGTGAATTGTTTTGTGTAGGTGCTGATGTTACATATGGATAAAGGCGGAGCCAACATGACAGGTGCGACCGAGCTCTTCTCAGATGACCTTGAACTATTTGGTTCAAGCGTAGCTACCTTGTACAAGAATCGTATGTTGATAGGTACAGTGTGTCACAAAATGATGTACTGTGAGGTCAATACATTATAAGAATTCTAAATTTATAATTTTACCTCTAACATTTTATATCTTTAGAATGTATGAGTGCCATTTCCTTTATTACCTAGCTTGACTAAGACTGTTTGACGCAATGTTTTCTTGCTGTTTTTTTTAACCAGAACTTTTTCCATGATTATTGCATTGTTTAAATTTTGGATGTTATTTTTGTATTTTTACATTGTTAAGCCAACATGTTTGTGTCAAATATATCAAAATGCATTGCATGTATATATATATATATATATATATATATATATATATATATATATATATATATATATATATATATATATATATATATATATATATATATATATATATATATATATATATATATATATATATATATATATATATATATATATATATATATATATATATATATATATATATATATATAAGCTTAAAAAAAAAATGCGCCTTAATTATGAGGAATCTTAATAAATTTTCCTATATTGATGTTTGTTAGTGGGATATTAAGGTGAAAATAACACGGACCAAAAATAACACCTTTTGTACAATTGATGCAATATACCGGGTACATGTATTTGCAGTCTGAAATGACTTGCATATTTGGACTTTTTAAAATATTTTTTCTGTATTGCTGTATTACAGTGAATCCCTTGTCCACTTCTTCCAAATGCCTTTAATTGTCAAATTATCATCATGTATCTCAGGTGAAATTGCATACAGTAAAACATTACAATTCTGTCAGACAATCTGATACAATTTGTATTTTTCTACTTTTTAATATTTAAAAGGTTAACCACTTAATTCACTTTATTGGAGTTAGGAATTTTAAGAAGGATTTATATTGCGTTTGAAATTATACCGTTTTCTGGTGCTGTAAAGCCATGACATTTATTACTAGTCCAAAAACTACATATTTTTTAAATTCTCTGTTTTATGAAATGGTAGTACCTGTAATAATTATTCATATATAATAGGCATTATGAAATGGGCATTATTCATTTACATTTTACACTTGGTAATTACATTTTTCATTTGAACAGCATGACTGATAAACATAGATTTCTTTTATATTGATACATTTATTGCCATAATAGTACATTATACAATCCTCGTCCTTCCCGAGTAAGAGCATCAACAAGTTGTTTCATAATTTATAGTTATAGCTTATATTTTATTTATTCTTATTAATTAAAAGTAAATTTTCATTCCCTGTATTTTAAAATGTGTTTTGAACTGTACATTTATGAAATTTGTATAAAGGAATCAATTGTTTTGGTCCATAGCACTTTTAATTTATCTGCAGCCCTTTTAAATTCTGTTGAAAAATTCTTTTTTTTAAAACATGTATCTTATGCAATTAGACATCAAAATGTTTAAAATGTAATACACACTCATCAAAATGTTCAAGATAATACATCGAAATTTTTCCAGTAATATATCATTATGTTTATTAAACCTCTAAAATTGTATTGTGTTCTGTTTTCATTATTTAACTTTCATTCATAAAAACAGAAACCATCAAAATATCAGTACATGTATTTCAAAGGAGTTCATTTTGACGACAAGCTGATAGCAAATGTTCATAACCTTATCATAGAGCCAAGAAATAAGACCACCACCTTTTTAGTTGTTTTCAGGTTTTTTTTATTGAGATTGTAAAACTTTCACCACTTTATATAAAAAACTAATTTAGCAAAGTCTAGGGAAATGTCTGTTGACCACTCATGATTTGAGCAATATGATATAAAGTGTGCATAAAGTATTCCAGCACAACTATTGTTATGCAGTGTAGGAGGTTGCATTTTCTTTCCGGACCGAAAAAAGATTAAAATCTTTAATAATATTTTGTGAAAGATTTCATAAACTTCTTATTGAATGTATCAGATGTATGTTAAAATCTTGCATTAAGCAAATGAGGGACAATATGAAAATCATCTATCCTTCTGTGTTCAGTAACTAAGAAGTAAAAAAGAATTGGATAGATTAAACTAGCAGTACTTACCGGTCCCTGCTGACAAAGCAGGTAACAACATTGTCATTGTTTGTAAGGCTCACTATTATACATGTTTATTTAAAGGAAATTTGATTTGATTCTACACCTGGGTAATCCAACTTATCTCTCCTTTTCTAATGAAAAAAAACATCAAAATCATATCTCCGTTTTGAATACTGTGAAATCACTAATTCTCGTGGGATTTATTTATCGCTGTTTTCGAGGTAAGGAGAGACCCACAAATTTAAGAACACCACGAAATGTAAACTTTCATATGCATAACTACAAGACATTTTCCAATCACGAAATCAAATCCCCACAAACCAATAATATTTCCCCAATCCTCGAAAATTTGACCTCACAAAAACATGATGTTTCTGTATTTTCAAAAACCAAAATGAATTTGAATTACCATATGTATGGCACGCCAAATTCACAAAAATGAGCTAAACCTAGTTTCACAATTGATAAACTAGGTTTATCGACTGTAAACTATAATTTACAAACTGTAAACTATAGTTAACGATTCGTTAAGTATAGTTTTCATTTGTAAAACTATATTTAACGGTTGTTAACTATAGTTTACGAATGCTAATACAAGTTTATCTGTCTGTAATAAAACGTTAACAATAGATTTTGTTGATAAACATAGATTCACGTCTGTAAACTATAATTTACGATCGTTAACTATAGTTAAGAGTTGTAAACCATAGTTTACAAATCATGAAACTGTATTTATCAGATAATCTATGTTTTGCGATCACAAATGATTGTTTTTGGTGTTAAGTATAATTTATGGTTGTGAAACATAGATTATCGCGTTAACTATAGTTTACAAACGTAAAATATAGATTAACATTAACTATAGTTAACAGTCCGTAAACTATAGTTTACAACAGATAAACCTAGTTTATCGACTGTGAAACTACGATTAGCTCATTTTTGTGAATTTGGCGTGCTAAACATAGTTTCACAATTGATAAACTAGGTTTATCGACTGTAAACTATAGTTTACAAATCGTGAACTATAGTTTACAATTCGTTAATTATAGTTTTCATCTGTAAAACTATACTTAACGGTTGTTAACTATAGTTTACGAATGCTAATCTAAGTTTATCTGTCTGTAATAAAACGTTAACAATAGATTTTGTTGATAAACATAGATTCACGTCTGTAAACTATAATTTACGATCGTTAACTATAGTTAAGAGTTGTAAACCATAGTTTACAAATCATGAAACTGTATTTATCAGATAATCTATGTTTTGTGATCACAAATGATTGTTTTTGGTGTTAAGTATAATTTATGGTTGTGAAACATAGATTATCGCGTTAACTATAGTTTACAAACGTAAAATATAGATTAACGTTAACTATAGTTAACAGTCCGTAAACTATAGTTTACAACAGATAAACCTAGTTTATCGACTGTGAAACTACGATTAGCTCATTTTTGTGAATTTGGCGTGCTAAACATAGTTTCACAATTGATAAACTAGGTTTATCGACTGTAAACTATAGTTTACAAATCGTGAACTATAGTTTACAATTCGTTAATTATAGTTTTCATCTGTAAAACTATACTTAACGGTTGTTAACTATAGTTTACGAATGCTAATCTAAGTTTATCTGTCTGTAATAAAACGTTAACAATAGATTTTGTTGATAAACATAGATTCACGTCTGTAAACTATAATTTACGATCGTTAACTATAGTTAAGAGTTGTAAACAATAGTTTATAAATCATGAAACTGTATTTATCAGATAATCTATGTTTTGCAATTGCAAATGATCGTTTTTGGTGTTAATTATAGTTTAGGTTGTGAAACATAGATTATCGCGTTAACTATAGTTTACAGATGTAAAATATAGATTAACGTTGTTAACTATAGTTTACAGTCCGTAAACTATAGTTTACGACCGATAAACCTAGTTTAGCGACTGTGAAACAATGTTTTGCTCATTTTGACTTTGAATTTGGCGTGCCATACATATGTAAACTGAATTCCGAAACTTCATAAAAATCAGATACATAGCGGGTTCCAGTAACTTTTTTAACAAGCCTCTTTCTTTACTCCTCACTAAGTTACAAACAGTAGTGAAGACGAAACTTCAAGAGTACTGTGCAACAATTTATTCGAGAAGTGGTGTAAATCAGATGTGGATACTAAAAAACTCCAAGGAATTTTGGGAACATGTAAAATCGCAAAATTTCACCAAAATCGACAATATAAAACTTACGACTTTTCAAATTTATTATACAGCTATGCCAGAGTGCAGGTTGTCTGGGCGGTCGCAGACGTGTGTAAACACTGAGACAGGGAAATTCCTACACGGGAAAACCCTTAATATTTTGTGTGGTAATGGTATACGTAACAAGTGCTTGTAAGCTATACCACGCAAGAAATTAAAGTCCATGGATTTCTGACATCACTGACAGCTGCTTTTTCAAAATTACACTGTACGTACTTTGTTAAAACAATCTGGGACCTTATTCATAAAGCCTCAAATTGTACACACAAGTACTTTAAAGTTTATTCATTAAAAAAGAATCTCCAGTTTCTGATTGACAAAGCCTATGTGGTTTTGGAGACCTGATCTGCCAACAATCTATTGGAATTCCCATAGGTACCAGTTGCTCTCCGTTATTAGCAGACCTATTTTTGCATTCATATGAAGCAGAATTTGTTCAAATTCTTTTACGTGAAAAGAAGAATGCACTTGCTTTAGCCTTCAATTCGACATGTTGATATATCGACGACGTATTGTCAATAAGCAATGGTTATTCCGTAAGTTCTATATTATATATATTCCAGTGAGCTTGAAATAAATTATACCACAGAGTCTGACACGTCTGTTTCATATTTAGATATTTAACTAGAAAAAATCCTTATCGGTAGTTTAACAGTAAAGCTTTGTGATTTAAGGTTTCGTCTAAGTTCAACATGTCCAAAAAATTATTTTTACAATAGCTCCAAAATTATGTGTGATATAAGGTCAAAATGTTTACAGTTTATAAATATATTATTGATTAATAGATAGAAAGTATCACTTGATAACAAATATTTTTAAAAAGATTTTTATTTGAGAAAAAATGTGCATATTTAAAGAGAAATGCACCTGCTTAATTCTGTTCTTTTTGTGAAAACCATCACTGCAGAAACAAAATACGTTTATCATTGAAGGGCAAGTTGGATGTGAATGGTCTCTGAAATGCTGTTATTGAAAGCATGACATGTATAAAGACAAGACCCTGTAGTGTAGAACCCGCCATTTGCAATGTACTTTCGCTTTCAAGTCTTAACATTTGGACAAAATAAACAGGGAAAACAACTTTTCAGAAGCTATCCAAGTCCAACTTGCCCTTCATTGATAAACATATTTTGTTTCTGCAGTGATGGTTTTCAGTAAAAGCACGGAATTAATTAGGTGCATTTTCTGAAAAAATATGCATTTTTTAAAAAGATTTTTTCTCAATTTAAATATTTTTCCAATTATTTTTTATCAAGTGATACTTTCTATCTATTAATCAATGAAAAATATATAAACTCTAACAGTTTTAACTTTATACCTCACATAGTTTTGGAGTTATTGTAATAATAAATTTTTGGACATGTTGACCTTTGACGAAACCTTAAACCACCTTCGCCAGCCAAGGGTTTCTGATACAATGAAGCGTATTGAAGTGGTAAAATTTCCCGTTTGAATGGAACGTTTTGAGCTATCTTTAGAACGTTGATTGTCATACAATGACACGCCCATTTCTTTAGAAAGTAAAAATCGGTCGAATGGTTCATTGAAATACCTGTAGAACAGGTATTCTAAAAATATAATATCCAATCAAATTGACGGTCTACATAAACACAGCTAGAGTACGCACGTGTTCGACCAATACATGTGTTATGGAAACTCCAATAAACATGATAAATTCATAATTATGTACAAATTCATTGCAATACGTGTTTTATAGAAGCTGGAACTCTCTAAATCTCTCTTATAACTTTAAAAATCCCCATTTCGGTGTAACTCATGATAACTCACTCTTTTCTCAAAGAGTGGGGTGTCCTAAAACATTACGACGAATATTTCTTGTACGTTTCTAAAGAAATGGGCGTGTCATTCTGTAATAATTGACGTTCAAAACATGACTCAGAACGTTTCATCCAAACGGAAAATTTTACCACTTCAGTGCGCTTCATTGTATATACGCTACTCTCCTCATAATCCCTTGGCATACGGTCTGATTGGGATTCTGTACGTACACCCGGTCGACCAATCAGCATTTGTTTTTTATGAGTGACGATATTTGCGTTCGGGTTACTTAATTCTTGGCTCTTTAATCTCGGAAATGAAAAACGCAAGTAAACAACGATCCGTAAGATAACACTTTCAATTTGCTACCGACGGGTATGTATAAGAAAAAAGAATTTGACGGAGAGACTTTCTATATACTCATCTTCTTGTTCTCAATGAAAGTCAATCAATACATGTAAATTAAAACGTTTTTCGAAAAATATAATCATTACAAAATAATTACTAAAATCTAAGTCTATAATTTTTGTTTTGTACATATTTTTTCAAAGTGCGTTAAATCTCCACATGGTAAAAATTGTTTAAGCTACGTTTACACTATGTTCCCGGCAGCCACGGCAATCACGTTTCAGGCCACCGTGGAAAAAACGGGACGGGCGTGAGAAAACTTGGGGCAACGGGATGGGCAAACGTAACTCATCGCGATTGCCGTGGATGCCGTGCCAGATTTTTAAACTGTCAAAAAATTTGCCACGGCGGCCACGTTGCAGATGTGAAACTTAGTAGGTCGTAGTAAAACGGAATAAACGCAACAAAACACGACAGCACGTAATAGACCGTAACAGAACTTGGAGGCAGTCCGCAGTGGGACGGGAGAATGTATATTTCTATTCATCTCACGGTCCATTCACATTTTGAGACGTTTTGCTGAGTTTAGTCCGCGTTCTGTCACGGCTAGTTCACGGTTGTTGTCCGTTTTATCACGTTCTGCCACGTTTCATCACGGTCCTCACGGCAAACTAGGGTGTATGGTAGCCGTTTCCTCGCGTTCAATCGCGGTTCGTCCCGCCATGTTACGGTTTATGGTCCCGGTGCGTTGCGTTCTACTACGGTCTGACACGGCGCACGCGGTCTGAGAGGAAGCATATAAAAGCCGGGCACTGCAGAGATGGATCTCCGCCTTCCGTCTTCCGTCCGATCATCCGTCTTATTCGTCTCATTCCTAGTTGCTGCACTCCTGCCTTCCCTCTCTGTAACTGCTGCTGGTTCTCTTCATTTTGACGAAGTGATTTTAGGTATGCACCCAGCAAACACGCGAAAATAAAATCTTCGTCTTGGGAATTCATGATGTTTTATCTTCGAAGGTTCATGATACAATGATTGTTTCTGGTTAGGAGACCTTCTCTGGTACAAACGTGATCCATAGTTTCCCGGTGTCCATGTTTCATACGTAGAAAGACTTGACAGAACGTGAGAAACGTATAAGAACTTCATAAGAACGCGAGAAACGAGAGGGGACCTATCAGAACGTAAGAGGCCTGGGGGCAACGTGCTGGCATACGTGGCAGAACCGTAGTGCGCCGTGAAGCCTCCGGCACTCCACGGCAACTTCTTCCTACGGCCCATCACGGATTCCGTAGAAGACCGCAAAAGAACTTGTCAAGACTTGGATATAGAGGGGAAAATAACCAAAATCTCACGGCGCACTACGTTTCGGGCAAACGGGGCTGCCGTAGCTGCCGGGAACATAGTTTAAACGTAGCATTATGTACACTCTTAACGCACTTTGAAAAAAAATTTCAAAGTGCGTTGAGTATGTCCCAAATTTAACGCAATTTGAAATTTTTTTCAAAGTGCGTTGAGTTTGTCCCAATTTTAACGCACTTTGAAAAAAATTTTCAAAGTGCGTAATTTTTTCAAAGTGCGTTGCCACACTGCGTGTATATAGTTGCAATTTCTCTAATTTTTCAGAATCGATGGATAGACAACCACCCCATACAACTGAAGCCTACTCAAGTTGGGGACGGATAAATGAAGTATACATAAGTGAAAGGCTTTTTCGATTTATTTTAAACTTAAGTTTTTTTAAAAGACCTAATTTTTTGTATGCATTAGACAGCAAGATTTCAATGTGAGATGACCAACTTAAGTTGTATGAAAAAGTTACCCCAAGATGCTTATGAGTTTGAACATATTCTAATTGGCTATCTTGGAAAAGGAGTTTTGGAAATCTTTGTTTTTTCTTGTGTTAAAAAATACCACCTTAGTTTTAGAGGGATTAAATTTTAGCAACCATTTTTTAGACCACTCTTCAAGAGATAAAAGATCATTATTCAGATGACTTTTATAGATTTGACACATTTAGATGCATACTGCAAACTGTTATCGTCTGCAAAAAGTCTACAGAAGCTTGACATCTTATCAGCTACATCATTCACATAAATTAAAAATAACAAAGGACCTAATACAGAGCCTTGTGGAACACCTGCATATAGGGATTCAGTAGGGGATACCAGGTTTTTGTATATCACTCTTTGCGTTCTGTTCTCTAAAGAGCTTTTTAACCAACTATACATATCTTTCTTTACACCATACATGTTTAATTTAAATAAGAGTCCTTTGTGCCAGACACGGTCAAAGGCCTTAGATAAGTCACAAAAAATCATACAGCAGGATTTGCCTTCATCAATATTTCTAACAATGTTATCATATGTTTCTGACAACTGATATACCGTAGAGTGACCAGGTAAGAAACCAGCCTGGAATTTATAAAAAATATTGTTAGAGTGAAAATAGTTGTACAAGTGTTTAAATACAATACGCTCCATCACTTGACTGACACGGCTGAACAATGAAACGGGTCTATAGTTAGATAAAACTGCAGGATCATCTTTTTTAAACAAAGGGATTACATTAGCTAATTTCCATTTTTTTTTTGGAAAAACACAGTCTTTCAATGAACGGTTAAACAATAAGCACAGAGGTTTGACAACAGATAATTTTGTTGATTTTAACATTTTATGGCTAATACAGTCTTCTCCAATGGCTTTATTGACACTTAATATAGATAAAATTTCAATAATTTCTTGTTCACAAATAGAGATATTGTCAAAAACACTATCACACTCAATGTTTTCTTTAGGTAATTCAGACGTTTCATCATCAACACATGTAATTGAAACAAAATAAGTGTTGAGTACCTGTATCTTATCTTCATCAGAAAAAGCAAAATTAACATCACCAGATGCAGATGTGTATTGTAAAGGGGGATGTCTGTGGTTGATTTACTTTTAAATGTATCTCTTAGAAGTTTCCAGAAAAGCTTAGAATTGTTTTTACTTGAATCAATTAGCTGTAATTCAAGAGTATGTTGATAATTTTCAATAGCATGTTTTTCATGTTATTAAATTTATTTCTTATATGCTTTTAAAAATCATCCCAGTCACTCTGTTTATCACTTTTTTGTGCTTTTCGTCTCAATCTATTTTTTCCCAATGGGTTTTCCTTAATAGTGAATCAAACCAAGGTTTGCCTTTAGGTCTTATTAAAACTGATTTTTCCGGTACACATTCCCTAACGAGATCTAGATATTTGATTGAAAAATTTTCGGCAGCTTCGTCAGTTGATTCTGCATTACAAATGAGATTTTCCCAGTTAGCATTTTCTATAAGATTATTAAGTTTTTCTATATTAGCATTTTTTTTTGTTACTTTATCCTCCACAATAACAATGAACTTGGTGATTAGTTTCATTGTTTATTTATATGAACCCAAACACAATACCTTTTTTTCTGATTTTATTATTCTGAAATTCTGATATGTAAGACTAAGCTAAGTTCTGTAAAATGTTTCGTAAATAATTACATACCTGAATTCCCTACAATATAAACATTAAAAACTGCAATATTATAAAAAAGAAAACGTGTTATATATTAGTTAAAATTTGTATCTATGTATTCAACATTGTACACTGTACAATAAAGTAAAAAATACAATGTATTACACTTACAAATTAACAATAAAACACTTGTATTAGTCAAGTAGTGAATTAACATGTTTTCCTTTTTAGATCCCCTTCCTTTTCCCCTGTACTTTACCCTTGTCCTTAAATGTTTATCTAGTGAGGTTACCCAGGGATTGTTTACACTGCGTTCAAAACTATTGATCCACATTATACAGCTGGTCTACTGAGTCGACTTTGGTGGAGACACAACAAAAAGCCATGCTTTTTAGAATTCTGTTTGGGATAGCATTGGCAGCGTCCACTACTTTTATTCTAAAAATGGTGTAAGTATCATTTGACCATATAAAAATATCTTGTTTCATACTTATGTAAAGGCAAATTAAGATCTCGTTTTATTGAAGTGGTGAACAAGCTTTGTGCAGCAGCGTAGCAGAGTGTTAGGGTACCTTACTATAAAAAAAATTCAATGATATTCGCTATGCTACGACGGTGCCACGAGTAACCTGTCAATTCTATAAATATTGAATAAATTTCAAAGTGTTCAGTATGCCATAAGTATGCTTCGTTTAAATATTGGACGGATGTATTTTTCATTTTTACTTCAGTTTGTACATGGGCTATCACAAAACCCTCTGGAATCATAGGCCCGGAAAATGTCACATTGTGGAAGGAATCGGTATGTTAATTATAGTGACTGTCACATCCGATCTCATCGGATCTATTAAATTATTGTAAATATTCTATATCATGACCTGTATTGTTTGACAATGATTTCCAATCTAGAAAATCATTTTAATTCTAATGAGCATGTTTTCCATATACAAACAAAAACATCTTTTTTTTTGCAATTGAAGACTATGGTTCTGAGGACATGCAGACCACCAAGTCTGGTTTGACTTTCATCACGTCTGTAAGATAAATTTTATTTCAATGATGCGTGAAATTGATTTGATATATAATATGTTGCATAAGTAATCTTAAATTTTGAAGGGGGTTAATGGAGGGTTTTTTAGCCAAAGCTATAAAGAATACTACGAGAAGCACAAAGTAAGAGGGCGGATCATGTTATTTAACATGGAGAAACCAGAGGAGGGGGTCAAAGAATTGACGATTATTGGAAACAAGTTCAGTTATGACGACTTCTATCCTCATGGAATCAGTGTGTTGGAGGACAAAGGTAGCTTTAATAATGTAGGAAAACTAACAATAGGAAAATGGCATTTTATAATAAAAATTATATGCTAGTATATATACCGAATAATACGTGGCAAAATGTGTATCACGCCCCATCAACTTAAGACTGCAATGTCAACTTCAGAGCTTAAGTCCAGAAGGCTGAAACTGGTTGAGGGTTGATATGTGGTTTATGATTCAGATTTTGTCATGGGTTATGGGGGGATCGGGGGGGGGGGGGGCACTTGCTGTGGCCTTCAACTCGACATTTAGATATATCGACAACGTACTGTCAATTAACAATGGTAACTTTCATTCCTATGTCGATACGATATATCCTATATCTAGTGAACTTGAGATAAAAGATACCACAGAGTCTGACACATCTGTTTCATATTTGGATATTTTACTTGAAAAAGACGTTAATGGTAATCTAACAACCAAGCTCTATGAGAAACGAGATGAATTTAACTTTTCAATCGTCAACTTCCCTTACTTATTTGATTCGATACGCAAGAGCATGCTCTGTATATGAGCAGTTTCTAAGACGAGGTAAATTATTGACAAACAAGTTGATGAAACAAGAATTTCAGCTGTCTCGTTTGGGGTCATCATTTCGTAAATTCTATGGTCTTAACAATGACCTTGTCAGCAAACACAATTTATCATTGAGTCAAATGCTGACTGACGTTTTTCATACTTATTGTTAGTCCATTATTTACACACTGAATTGACGACGGATTTTTCCGTTATTTCCCGAACATGACAAGGAGCACACGGCGGGTGTGACTGGTCGGCAGGGGGATGCTCACTCCTCCATGGCACCTGATTCCACCTCTGATGTTTCGGAGGCCCGTGTTTGCTCTGATCCTATTTTGTGTTGTTTTATGGACTTTTGATCTTGGATACTATTCGTTATCTCCATATGTTTCATCCAAAACACTTCATCGTATTATTGAAGGGCAGTACAAAGAGGGACAGAATTAAATAAAAATCAAAAACTTATACAAATAGAAAGTAAATTATTTTATTGCAGTTTAAAGACAATGAATTTTATTTGTTTTGCAAAAATAAACAGAATTCAGCGTTTTTTAAAATCTATATTACTTTAGGAAAAGTATTACTATTTGTTGTGGTTCATCGGAAGGAACAAGATACTGTGGAGAAATTTGAGTTTCTGGAGAAGACCTTAGAACTGAAGTACCTTAAAACTCATACAGGAACTTTAGCTCACGTGTAGGTTTTCATGAATTACGTTCATTGCTACCTTATCATATAATGCATCCAACGTTGCTCTTTACATATACATTTTGCCATAAATAATGGCTTCTGGACTTTTAGGATTGATGTAAGCCGTATACTCTTCTTTGATTTTTCAGTCTTAATGATGTAGTGGCAACAGGACCAGAAACCTTTTACGCGACAGACTATTTTTATTATCGAGATTCTAGACACGTCCTAGAGGCACTTTTCGGACTTCACTTTGGACATATTCTGTACTACAATGGCAGCGATTTTACCATTGCTTCAGAACCAACATATTTGGCAAACGGGTTTGGCCTCTCCAAGAATGGGAAGTTAGTGTCTTTTATTTTCTTCTCGTTTTGTTGTTTTATATTTAGGAATGAAGCTCTTTATTATCCTTTTGTTCTTTGTAATAGATTTCTGTACGTTGTCTCCAGTGGTGGTCAAAAAGTGATGGTATTTAAAAGAGAGTCGAATAACAGACTTACGAAAGTCAATGTGAGTGGGAAAAAAGATAATTACATTCCTGATATCAAAAAAATTGACTTCTTTAATGTAAATGTGTATAATTTCACAACATTGGATATCCATAGTATAGTCATCAACTCATCATGTAATCAGCCAAGTTGACAGAATGTTTTATTTTAGACGTTGCGCACGGTGTTGGTACATTGACGTTACGTCAAAATAACGTTAAAAATTCATAACGTTGTTGTAACTTTTTGAACCGTATACATGCATATTTTAGATCTTTGAATGAATTATATTTTTCAAAAGTATAAAAAATAAAAGGGCACACAATGTTCAATGTTTGAACCTTCTTTATTGAAATATTTAGATGTTTATTAATAAATCTTAATAATAAGATTTTAATTACTGAAATGCCAAAGGCACTCAGTGAATATTCCTCATTCTATTTTTCTCACTTGTCTGTCTTATAAGGAGAAAATATATAAGTATTATTCCCTTTCAACCTCCTTCAAAATTTTTCTTCAGTTAGGTCATTGCAAGTCTTTTATTTCTATATAGTGTCCGCATGCGCTTTGGATGCATAGAGAAAAAATGAGTTAAAAGGATGTAATCACTTTAACAAAAGAATTGACCTATAGGAGAAAACAATTTCCGGGAAAAAAACGACATTTAAAAATCAATCTTTATTTGTTGTTTTCTACCGTATAATATGTCTAAATTTTTCAAATTTGTATTTGATACCTCAAATCTATTATTTACAACTTAACAATAAACCTCCAAAATTGACCGAAACAGCATTTTGTCCATAAAAGCATAGATTTTTGCATGAATTTTGGCCTTGAAGTCCTTCAGGGCAGGCCTGCCCCTAAATAAAATTGCGATATTTTGATAAGTTAGGATGTAAGGAATAAATTAAGATAAGATTTTTTTTAGGGGCACCCCTGCCCTGGGGTCGAAATTCACAAAAAACCTACAAAAAATAAGGAAACTTGATTTTCATCACCTGCTTTAAATTTATGCCACTAATTCTTACAGTCAGACTAGCTCAGTTGATATAAGACCTGACTTTTACACCTTGGATACTTTCTTTTTAAAGTCGGGGGTTCAAATCCACCTGGCACAACACTTTCAAACTTTTAAATTTCGCCTTTTTAAAGACTATTTAGGTTTTTTATATAGATTTGTGTATTTACCTGTGTTTTACCTGTATTTTTTCAAAATGTTGGCTAAGTGGGAAGACACCAAATAAGCACAGTTTTTTCGAGGACAAGAGTAACTCACTATTTGTTACACAATACAGGTATTCTTAACAGCACTGAGCTGCAATGAATTTCAATTGTATATATTCCTTATAATTAAATCACATTGATTTTGGCTGCATATTTCAGTAAATGCACTCCCTTGGATTTCATTTAGGCCTATATAATTTGCACACTTTAATGACATGTTTTATTATATCCACGGATAAATGGCCTAGACATGAAGAACAGAATTTCAGAGAAAGTAGACACTACCTTTATGAACCATGAGAAGTAAAGACAAATATCAATTAGTACATATGGAGATAACAAGCTCATAAAATCAATGAAAGTGTTCCTCCTACCTCTACTAACTGAAATAAAAATTTAGGAAAAACATTATTACATGTATATGTATTTAGCCTAATGTCATTAATCGGAACGGAAATCGACAAGCTTTTTGTAGAGAAAAAAACCAAGCCCGGTCCTACAGGTCAGATCCCTAAATAATGAAGTGATCCTTTTTATACCTACTACGTTTCAATGAAACTGGTGTCATTTGAATAAAAAAATCAGTATCAATTTAGTATATTGAGGGGATGAAAAAAAGGAGGGATGGAGACGTTTCACTATTATTGAATATCTGGTTTATCATAAAAATTCTTGGTGAAAGAAGGGGGGGGGGGCTTTTATAATGCATACTTCGTTTAATAGGGTATTTTTGTGGAACGATATCATTTTGGGCTTTCATAATTTTTTCCTTTGGAACATGTACACATGATGATTAAGTGTAATAAGTATAAATTGTGAAAAAAATCTCCAACAAGCTCCGGGGTTGAATTATCGGGGGTGGGATGGGGGTGGTTCCTGCATGCATGGCCACATGTTCTGGTACTACGGACCTGTATGAAAAAAAGCCACGGTGATAATAATTTAACGCTCCCGACGTCATATGTATGCATTGCGTAAAATGACGTTTTTCGTACCTGTGACAAAATGGCTACACTTTTATTGATGCTTGCATTTATTTCATGTAGACCATTATTGTAAAGATTGTGTAATTAGTAAATGCAGCATTAAATGTTCTTTCAAGCTATATATATGATTGCTTTATATCTTACATTAATTGATATATTTTTGATATGTAATTGAGACATGTTTAGTAACAATACAGTGACTCGTGCGTGCATAACAAAATGGCTACACTTAAGAAAGCCTTTCTATCATTTACGTTGGAAAAGTAATCAATTCAAATAATCTAAGAAACATATGTACTAAAAGATTATTCACCAAAATTAATATTTGTCTGGGCTTTATGTCTAGTACACATCTCCATTTCGGCTAATGTCAGTGTAAGGAAACGAATTCTTACTGTTAGACATTTTACTTACGCACTGTAGATCCAGTCTAAATTCATGAAATTGATAAAATGATGTTAAAAACTCAACAATATCTTAAAGAATGCATATATTTTATTCTACCCCCTAAATTTTATTTAATTCAGAGAATTTTAAGTGCATTTTTCATACCTTTTAGTTGCGCGAACAATAATTGATGTAACGTCGGACACTGGAATTTCGCCGTAAATGACCAATACCGAGTAACGCCTCATTATAGTTAAAATAATTCTAAATTATTTAAAAGAAAATTTTAAGAATTATTCATTACCTTAGGTAACATAAATGATTTTATTTTTAATTTAAAGTAAATATGACATCACAAAACCGCCAATTTCTTTGCGGCATAAAGAGTTAGTTACTATAGTACCAACACCGTGCGCAACGTCTTTAAACTTTTTACATACAGGTAAATTGGTAACATGAACTATTTACAAAATGCTACTCAAAAAGTGTACTTCTCATTTAATTTTACTACATAAATACATGTATGTACATGTAGGAAATTCCAGTTGATACTGTCCCAGACAACTTAGTGGTGGATCCTAAAACGGGAGACTTGTTGCTTGGATGCCACCCAATAGTATTTAAAACCGCTCACCATCTCGATAACCCAGTGGAACCCGCAGCCTCACAGGTAAGAAATATTTGTAATTAATTTTATAATTCAGTAACTTACTTACTAACAGATGTAAGGCGTGACATTGATGAGACAGATGGTAGTCACTCGGGAGAGGGCAAACGAACAGTTGTTAAAAGATGTCCTCAGATTAATTCTTTTTTAATTAACTAAGTTTAATTCTCTCTCTTTTTTCCCTCTAAATACAGTTACCGGTATTTGTGGTGAGGTATATATGTGACTTGTCTACACTGTGAACTTCTTTCTTTAGGTACTGATGTTACACATGGATAGCAATGGTACCAATTTGACAGGTATTACGGAGCTATTCTCAGACGACCTTGAACTTTATGGTTCCACCGTGGCTACATTGTACAAGAATCGCATGTTAATAGGCACAATCTTGCACAAAATGATGTACTGTGAAGTGAATATATTATAAGGGACGTTTTATGGTCAAAATTTCCTCTTCATCTTCATGAAATGCATGTATGTTCGTACTCTTATTCGTCAATGAAAGATGAATTACAGTGAAGGAAAATGTGAAAATGTATAAGAATACAGACATGAAAGTGAAAATGAAAACAGTATAAAAGTAACTCATATATAACTCATATATAAAAAGAAGTAAAAAAAAATTGACATTATACATATAGGCTTGATGTCTTTGACCCGCATGTTTCATATATTGATATTTTACTAGAAAAAGACATGGTAACTTACAACAATGATTTATAATAAATGTGAAATTTTAGCTTTTAAATCGTCAACTTCCACTACTTATGTTGCTATATAATAATCTTTATCTGCATATGATGTTTATATGTCTCTCAGTTGATTCGATACGCAATCCTGAGCATGTTCTACGTATGAACAATTTCTAAAACAATGCAAGCTACTGACAAGCAAATTGATGAAACAACGATATCAACAGTCTCGTTTGAAGTCCTTATTTCGCAAGTTTTACGGTCGATACAATGACATTCTCAGCAAATACAATTTTGCATACCAATTGTCAGGCCGTTTTTACACACTGAATTGTCTACGGATTTTTTACCGTTTTTCTCGATCATGACAAGGAGCACAAAGCGGATATGACCAGTCAGCAAGAGATACTCACTCCTCCATGGCACCTGATCACATCTATGATTTTTTTGGAGGTCCGTGTTTACTCTACTCCCGATTTGCATTGTTTAAATAGATTTTCAGATTAAATATTTTTTCGTTTTTCTCCATATTTTATTTTCAGACTTAATGATATCCTGAGTAGCAGTAACAGGATCAGATTCATTTTACATCTAATAGTGTACAAAACTGTTAGATATCAAAATAACCCAGATGAACCAACGACCTTACAGATATATGTAAACGCAATCCTAGAATTCTTCTGCAAGTTTTCTTCAGTGTTGATCTTCTATGGTACTTTCATCAATACTTGCAATTGGAATTCAAAGAATTTTTCCACCCGTAAATCAAAGATAGTTTTGCCCTGCCGTCCATTTGGAAATATCTCTGTCAAAAATGGTTTGATTGTACCAAAAGCAGAACTTGACCTAGATATTCTTATAATAAATCTGTATATCACATTTCATTTAAATATATGCAACCTATGCAAAGAAAATGAACGGAAACTGCAAATTTTTGGAATTTTTCCAAGTCCAAGAGGCATAACTCTGTCCAAAATGGCCCGATCGTTTCCAAAACAATACTTGACATAGATATTCTTATGATAAATTTGTATATCAAATTTCATTTCAATGCGTGCAACCTCTGCAAAGAAAATGAATGGAAACTGCAAATTATTGGAATTTTTTCTAAGTCCAAGGGGTATAACTCTGTCCAAAATTGCTTGATCGTACACAAAACAGAACTTAACCTAGATTTTCTTATGATAAGTCTGTATATTAAATGTCATTGCAATATGTGCAACCTCTGCGAAGAAAACGAACGGAAACTGATGGTGGACCCACAGACTGACCGACTGACAGACAGCAGCAAAGCAACATGCCCTCCCTTCTTTGAAGGGGGGCATAATAAGAGATTTACGTTACTTCAAATAGGTCAAATAGAAGAATTACAGGGTATAAACACTTTATAAGTATCAAAATGAAAACAGACACTTATTTGTTGATTTAGGACCACTTTTATTTTTCAATGAATATAAATGTGCACATGAATTAGTAAAAACATGGTTTTTTTTTTTTACAATCCCTGATTTTCATTAAGCATTCCTCTCCCCAATAATTACAAATTACTGAAAATATAATTTCACAGGTAATTATTATACTCTTAAAATTGCATTTTTTTTCCAAAGCTAGCAAAAACTGAATTATATTAAGCAGACGTTCTTTTCTCAAAAGTAACTATATTCTATATATGGCACAGATATATAGACATAATATACATTTTTTAAATAAGATATAATCATGCATCAAAAACAACCAATTCAAGAATTTGATTTAATATCTGTAGAAATTACAGTCTCCTAATTATGGTAAATCAAATTTGCACAACTTTACCATATTGTAGGTTAACACTCCCTTAATATGTTATATTAAGGCAGGACCACATTTTTAATCAAGAATCGAAGCCAAAACCAGAGACGTACAAATGAACAGACATGAAACCCTTCACCATCCTAAACTGAATTGTCTACCAGTATCAGTCACAAAATTATTTCAAAACACAGATATCTTCTGTGGCATTTTAAAAAAGTCACAAACGTTTATACTAAATGCATTTACAAAAAGCATTAATAATGCGTAGAATTTTTTTTAACTTGTAATAATTAATTTACCAAAAAAAAAAACTTTTTAAATTTTGTCAAAAAAAGAAAAATACAATGCTATTCCTTTTCTAACATTTTTTTTTGAGGTCCTGTCCTATCTGCCAGCCCGCTGGTAATGAGGTCATTAGACACGCTAACTTCAGCGGGGCTGTTGGATTATATTGGGCTTCTGTACTGGTCGATTCTCATGAGTTGGTAACGGTTTCTGATGATAACTCTTCACAGCCTCAGGAGGGAAGTCCTTGTCTCCCTTTAATGAATACAAAAATGAATACAAATATGAAAAAAAACGTGTAGTGATTTCAAGCACTTGTTTTTAAGTAAACTCACATTTTTTTCTATTCTGTGCCTAGCTTCAATTTCACTAAAGAAAGAATCATGCAACAAAGTTATGATTAGTGAGTTCTGAAGCCATGCCCCCTTCACATTATACAAACCTTGGTTACTGCTCCAGATAGAAGAATAGATTGGTGGTGTTTATCAGCACTTACATCACTGAAAATAAGGAAAACATACTGTATATAAAGTAATCTCAACAGCTCAATCATTGTCATTATCCAAAAAATAATTTATAGCATTGTACTAAGGCCAAAATAAAAAATACCTTTGTTTCTCCTAACGCGGCCGACCCAATTAAATCACGCCGACTGAAAAGATTTTTTAAATAAGAGGATTGAAATATTTTTTTTTTATTGTTAACCAAGTTTTATAAAATACAATTTCATCGAAATCAGTTTTTATCAGAATGGCCGGCGTTGTTCTACTGTGATTTTCAAACATTTGTTGGAAATAAATTGACGTCCAGATGTGATTACAGGGTATTAGCTCTTCATAAAATAATGGCGACATCTCAATCTTATGCTTTTAGCTAATTGGAATTCTTCATTCTTGAAAAAATTCGATAATAAAATTTATCATGACTAATTAAGAGTGTTTCGGATGTGTCTTGGCGTCTCCATATGAGTGAATAAATTTTCTACAGGGACGTTAAACAACAAACAAACAAATCTGTCTTTGAATTTGAGGTACGTGATACATGGTAAGGCCCGCATCATGAGTAGATGAGGGGGCCACCTAGTGAACACATCATTCAACTTCACTGCATTTTATTTAATTTGAGTTTTGATCTAAAAACCAGATCATCCATGTTCTTTGTTTACTATATTCCATTATGGAACCATAGGAGTTGTTGTAAATATCTCTGCATATTCATCCTGATTAATATAATTCAGATGTCCTTTCTCCGTGCCTTTATTTAGTGGTTAAACTTCGTGACTTTGACATTGTATATATCATTTTTATCATTTGTAGATTCGGTTTGGTTCAATTAAATTACGTTAACATACTCTTTCCAAATAGTTTTGAAATTATGATTCAGCTTCCTGCATGAGACGTCCAATGTATTTTTCTTGAATTAGGCCCTTGAAGATTGGTTGTTTCTTTGCTTTTAATCCCTTCGAGATTTGTTAGGATGACATTTAAACATTTCCCCATTGCTCCAAATTTAGACGTACTCAGCACATTTTTGCCATTAAGCAGTGGGGGATCTTTTTTTAGCCAGCATCTTCTGCCACACTGGACATAAGTTTTTATGGTCCCCTTTGAAGAAGCGTTTTCAACGTTATTCATCGGGATTTGAACCTGCGATTTAAAATTAGCCACTTACTTGATAACTCCAAAGCAAAATGCCCCAGAACCACTGCAAATCTCATGGCCCTCAAAAAAGTACAATGATCAACTATAAGCTCTGAAGGCTGATGAAAATACTCGTATGTCTGGTCTTTGCGTATTTGAGAATCTTGTCTATTTTATTCAATTTATATAAATGTAATGGCGTGAGATATTTCACAAGTTAAACTAAATAACAGTTGTGAATTAATTAATCATGAATTTTGCTTTTAAACGGCATGTGTATGATACTTTGTTCGCATTTTGCATACATATTTTGTTCACAAATTGCTTTCTTTTGTACTTTTCTTATTTATAAAGGTAATTTTCCATTAAATTTTAGAATGTATTTTCAAAGCTGCTGCCAGAAAATAACATTGTTTACCTACCTACCGACCCAACTTGAGAATTAAGGGTCGGGTTAGGGGAAACAAAGATATTTTTAATTCTGGCCTTATATAGTAAAACATCTTTGAATAAATAAAATAAAATGGAAGTTTTATTAGATTTGAGAGATTAAATCGCCATTACAAGCAAAAAATCAGGCTTTTCTTCAAAAGTTAGTTCACTCAGCTTTATAGCTGGAAGAATGGTGATATATGATTGAACATACTGTAGAAGTACTTTTTTCCACGGGGTCATAATTCCACGAAATCTCAATTTCTGTTTAATCCGCGTGTAGAAAATTACGCGGATTTCCTAGACTGCCACTATATGCCTTACATTTATATTAAGAATGCGTGGACAAATTTCCGCGGAAAATTTGTGACCGCGTACATAGCGCAAATTAATACCACGTGGAAAAAAGTTCTTCTACAGTAATCTTACACAGTCCCAAACTCCTCAGCCTGCTCCTGTTTTTCCTCCCTTGATTGATGAGAATCGCTTTTATCTGGCTGCTTGTGCTGTACAATTCGCATTCCCCCAGCCTTAACTAAAAATTAAACAATGAAGAAATTCTTAAGTGTCACAACTGGGATTTTTAAAAACACACCGGTCTGCTTTTCAACATTTATATTATTCTTTTCACTTTGATACCCCACTGTGGCCCCACCCTACCCCGGGGGTCATGATTTGAAAAAAAAAATTGAATCTAAACTTCCCAAGGATGTTCCACATGAGTTTCATCTTTCCTGGCCCAGTGGTTCTTGAGAAGAAGAAATTTCAAAGATGCCATCATTTTTTTTCACTAATTCATAATTATCTCCCCTTGAAATGAAGAGGGCATGGCCCTTCATTTGAATAAACTTGAATCCCCTTCACCCAAGGATACTTTGTGACAAGTTTGGTTGAAATTGGTCCAGTGGTTCTTAAGAAGAAGATGAAAATGTGAAAAGTATAAGACAAAAAGATGACGCCAATGACAACAACGACGACAGACAACAACAAAATATCGATCAGAAAGCTCACTTGAGCCTTTGGCTCAGGTGAGCTAAAAATCTTGGTATGAGGTGGGGTGATAAAATCAGACACATAAATAACAAATAATGAATAAATTGTCATTAATTTTTTTTAATAAAACAATTTAATCATTTAGCAAGAAAAGTGTGTCTCCATAACACTGCCTCCCGCCCAAGGTGCAGTATACAAAACCATTCTGCTCATGTGCATGCCATGCCATAGACCTACTACTGCGTAATATGGATCATTGACCCCAGCAGCTGTTCGCCTTACGGAAGCCATGCTCGTGATGCTATATATAAATTGATAAGACTTTCTAAAGATGTTTTAATTTTTTTTATATCTCACCTGCAGGGGGGTGTCCTGCTAATAAATCACTTTCTTCTTGTGCGTCTGACATTTCTGTTATGTGTCAATTCAAACCTGCTTTCTTCTCGAAATCTCTATCACACTGTGACACTTGTTTACGTGTTGTTCACTTTAGTAAGGTAACGCCTTATAGTCATACAAAATACAGACACATTTTCATGATCGAGTGATGATTTAGGCTAGCCGCACTATAAATTTTAATTGCAAGATTATCAAAAACATTTCCATATGGTATTTAATAAAGGTAAGAAAACAATAAATAAAGGAACGTTGGAGATAAAATGGTTTCACTTTCTTTTATTTTTGCTATTTTGGTGTTCCCATACTTTTGTCCCATAAATTTTTTTTATTTTCTAAATACCGAACCCGAACTTCAAAAATTTCTACTCTTCAGAAAGGGAGGTAAATAAATCTTGTGTAAGAAAAAAATAAAAATGTTGGGATTTTTCAAGGCAAAGTCAAAATCGATAACAATTCCTGATCGACCTCATCCACCTTCATTTGAACAAATAAAAGAAGACGTGGACATTGCGCCTGACAGTGACATAATGTTTTGTACGCGTTCACGTAAGTTTTAATCATGTTGTATCATCTTTGTATGATCATGTAGCCATGCATGTAAGCTAACGTTTTGTTATGTTGTGAACATTACTGTTCATTCCATGCAATTTGTTCAAATTTTATTGACTTGTAACTGGACATTTATTTTCTAACATTTTTAGACTACAGACACTTTAACATTGTTTAAATTCATATTCGGTATAATTAAATAAATCATATTGCCATATGGAGGGCGTGCATGTTTCTAAATAATGTCTTAATTATTTCAACATTACAACTGCCGTATTTATACCCCCCGCTTGAAAAGCGGGAGAGTATATAGTAATCGGTATGTCCGTCCGTCTGTTACGATTTGGGGTACCCATCTCTTATCCGCAACTCCTCTCATACCACTGAAGGAAATTTAATGAAACTTTCACAGAATCTTTATTACATATTGCCATTGTGCACCTCCTATATTACTTTTTGATTTGACATATATTTTGGATTTTCCAGAGCAAAACATGGACATTGCCATTATATTCATATGGGAGGCGGATATCATTTTGTGAGCTCATTGCTCACAGTACCTCTAGTTTTTTTTGAATTTGAAAGTAAAGTAAGAAGGCCAAAAAATCTTTGTACATACTTTTTTTTATTAATCAATGAAGTTATCCCCCTTAGATTATATTATAATTATATAAAACTTTCATAGCATAGATGCAAACATGCATAGAAGTTTATTATACCCCCGCTTGAAAAGCTGGAGGGTATTTAGTAATCGGTATGTCCGTTCGTCTGTCTGTCTGTTATGCTTTGGGGTACCCATCTCTTATCTGCAACTCCTCTCAAACCACTGAATGAAATTTAATGAAACTTTCACAGAATCTTTATTACATATTGCCATTGTGACCTCCTATTTTACTTTTTGATCTAACACATATTTTGGATTTTCCACAACAAAACATTGACACTCCCATTATATCCATATGGGAGGGCAGGGAGCAGGGGGTATCATTTCGTGAGCTCATTTCTCACAGTAGCTCTAGTTTTATCCTGCAATCCAGAGCATGAGAAATATAGATTTTGATAAGAATGCTGTTCATCCTTGGATTTGCAGGTTCTGGTAGCGATTCCTCGGAGGAGTATTTTGACGCCCGGTCGGAGTTTGATACGTCTGGAGACGAGGATATGGAGGAGGAACAGGAACACGCATATGACCAATCCGTAGAACTGTTACAGTTACACCAACGACTCGTTACAGCGCCCCAGGCTCTGGAGGCGGAGCTAGACAAACTGAGAACTCTCGGACAGGAAGTGTCTAAAGCAGTGGAGGAAATCCGACAGATGTCAAATCACAGTCCGCGTCAGTCAGAGGATTCCAACATCTCAGGTCAACAGAAAAAGACGAAAGTCAAAACATAGTCTTCTGTACGTTAGATATTGTGTGTGAAATAATTTAAAAAGTATATCTGATGTGTAAAAATATGCCAATGTTTATGTTATATTCATTATAGATATTTTCTCCAGTGCATTTAATGGAGTAACTGGGTTATACATGTATGTGTGCAGCAACAATTATGTTGAGTTGACTTACTTGGTTTTCTAAAACATATGTTAAAAGAATGTTCATTCATATCTGTAAAAGTTTTATGTTCATAAATAATGTGCAATGTTTCTTGTGATTAAATAAATTTAGTAAATCCATTTTGTATTTGAATTTTTAACATCCCAGGAAGTTGTCAACTAAATCATTACATGTATTTTAAATAAAGTATAATTGAAAAATACTTATGTTTTAAGTAGACATGTACATAGTTTTAAAAGTAATTCAAGTGTTGCCTATGCTGTAAACCACGTAGTTAATGTCATTGCTCGATGTTTACACATAGAAATCATATGACATTAATCTAGACTTTCTCTCATTATTGAATCTTTAATGAATTGATAACAGTTTATGTGACCACTTTTCATCACATGGTTTAATCGTGAGAAGCTGGGAAACAAGGGCTATTCAGACACTGCATTATAAATGAATGGTAAAGAATCAGTAAACTAGAGTGAAAATAAAAGCTTCATTAAAGCTGCTGTAAAACGTGTTAAAAATCCCATAAATTTTCACTGAAATTTTTACAGCAACCAATGCCTGTTTTATAGACAAATCTTGGATTTCAATGATAAAAAAATTATATTATGGGCATCAAAAATGGGTATAGTTTACAACAAAAATTATAATAACTTATGTACTATTTGCCCATTTCAACAAATAATATCTGATGATGTATGACTGACTTTAAGACACATAGCAAATTTGATATACATCATATAAGTTTACAATGTTTTTAAACGTTTAGGTAAAAAAGCTTGTTAAATATATATTTTGAAAAATGAGTGAAAACTACAGTGTGTAGGAATGTCTTAACAATTATTTTAAAATATCAGTAACTGTAGTTATCCAAGTTTGTTTCATATTCAAACAGATAATAGAACATGAATCTATTGCTTAAAACACTTAATACAAAATTTACCATAAGATGTACTTGATAAAAACAGCAATGTGAAAGAGCAAAGGTATGCATTTATATGCAATTTTCTTCAATATTAGTGGTACTGTTGTTCAATTTCGTATTCGGGGAGACAGTTTAATTTATGGAGGAGTCTAGAAAGCAATCTTTTTGCAAAAAAATCGAAAGGTTTATTATGTTACATTAAATTTCTTCATGACAGCGTCCAAATCCTGCACCTCTGAAGAGTAAAGGGGTTTTCGGGATAAAAAAAAGTTAATATTTTCTCACATTAACAATATTCGTTGGATCTTTTACCTTTTGACTTGTTTCTATTTCCAAACTTGAAAAAACACCTTTCAGAAAGAAAAAAAACAAGTCCAGGAAATCATTATCTGCTATTTTCCATATACTAAATAAAAAATGTGTTCTAAATACATTCAGAAATTAAATAAAAACTTTAACGTTTTTAATCAAAAGAGATTTATAAGTAAAATTTTAAAAGTAAATCTTTAAAAAGCGTCTTTTGCTTCTTTCCGAGCCCCGATGACATTATTTATTGAACGTCCCTCGCATATCCTATTGATGAACCAGACAAGGATCCATTGATTTCCTGTAAAAGCTTTTGAGATTTTTTTATTATAATATAAAAGATTATTAAGGAAATTCTTATTATTTATTGCCTTTTTCCAAGTTAAAGAAGAGGCCCATGGGCAACAATACTCACCTTAGTCAGCATGGCAAGTTCTTTGCCAGCAGATGTTTTACTTTATATTCCATAGTAAAAGAATAATCCCCCATTGTGGCCCCACCCAACCCCTGGGGCCCTTAGCTGTTACAGTAACCCACAAACATACCAATGTGAGAACATTGTAACATAACAGGACTATGAAGACTCTACTTTGAAGTAAGAGAGGAAATGACTGATTTTCAAATGATAACATCTACAAGAAAATTGTATGGATTGTATTTCAAAAAAGTAAACAGAAACACGGTACGTAATTAAATCAAGCAGGAATGTGAGAAGAAAGATGATAACTGATACTGAAACACAATAACATTTTCTTTGAAAATCCAGTATATACCAGTAAATAGCTTGAATTTGAAATTGTTTTAAAATTAAGATTTAATGGCGGATATCACTCTGTTCCAAAACATTTCCTTCCCTGATTTTTCGTTGGTCCACTCTATGAAAGTGGTTGTCTTCAGCAGAACATGCAAGGAATTGGTCATATTTTTGGTAAGGATATTCTCCAGAATAATAACGATGACCATCTCTTTTTCCTTATTTATCGTCCGCAGCTGTGCCAACATGGTTTCGAATCGACACCAATGGCTCTGTGCAAAGCTGTTAGACAATACGATTAGAATTTTTCGGCTTCTGTGCATGGTGTCAGTTATATTATCTACGATAAGTTTTCCCACTTGAAAATCTCTATCATGTAGACAAAGTTTGAATTTTTCTTCTTTCTCCAGTTTTGGTACAATCTCTGAAATGACCCATATCCTATCATCAGAATTATAAGCTACAAAAACATCATAAGCAAATTCATCACCTCCTAATATTTCATAACCTCGTCTTTTGGCACGCAAGAGATACAAATAGTACTTAATATGCCAGCGCTTTTGGTATAATACACACGAAACTATAACGATGATAAACACTGCAAATGACACCGATATAGCCACAAGAATGTATGCATTGAAAGGGTGACAAAACTCGAAGCTTAGATGGAAATCTGCGAGATTCCGTCCTATCCATTCTTGCGGGAGATGACATACATACTGCTTGGGCCAGCCGAGGAGCTGATGTGAATGATTTTGAATCCAGTCTCGAAACCAAACTAGATCACATGTACACAAGAAAGGATTACCTTTCAAGCTAATGTGTTCAATATGAGCTGGAAGATTTGTTTTATTCAAAGTCGTTATCAGATTGTAATCTAAGAGAAGAGTCTTTAACTTGACTGATGTCGATGAAAATATCCCCAGATGGGATTCATTTATAAAACAGTTTTGTAAGGAGAGCGTTCTCAGGTTTGGCATGATGGTGAAGAGCGTTTTCGGAAACGTTGTTACGGAGGTGCCTTTTAATACAAGTTCCTGCAGCTTGGTGAGAGGACGTAAAAGATTTAATAATTTCCTTTCTAAGTTATGTGACGAATTTAGCTGTATACCAGTCATATCCAGAACTTCCAAATTACGACAATATTGGAAAATGTTTAAAGTGTACCTCATGATATTCATTTTGTTTGCCATGTATAAATACATCAGAGAAGAACTATTGAAAGAATATTCATTAACTGTTACACCTGGTGCGAGGTTTTCGATGGACAAGTATTGAAGATTTGATAAGTCATTAATGAAGTTTTTGACAATGGTCTGAATTTTGTTAAATCCAAGCGTTAGAATTTGCAGATTTGGCAAGCATTGTTTCATAAAATTTCTTTTCCAAACGACGGATATTAGATTATCACTCAGATGAAGAACTTTGAGCTTGGGGAAACTTGGCTTGCCGCTAAAGCAAAATTTGGGAACTGATAGTAATTTGTTTTTCCTCAGATTGAGAACTTCCATATTCGGCATCACTCTCTTGAACTCGACAGTTGAAATTTGGTTGTTTGTCAATGAAATCAGCTGCATCTGTTGAGGTAACGACAACAAGTTCCCGCAGAAGTTGTAAAACACATTGTCGTCTAAGTAAATTCGTCGTAAAGTTTTCAACTGTAGGAAGAAGTCGTCTGACATATTAGCCATATGAAGTTGTGTGAGATAGAGTTCCTGTATGGTCCCATTCTGCAATCCATAGACCACCTTCTTCAGTTTCTTAGCATGTAATTTGTTTCCACTTAGATCCAGGGATTGTAAGTAAGGAAGCTCCCGGAACGCAGTTTTATCCACTTGATCAATTCTATTCCTTCTGAGGACAAGTTTCGTCAGGTGAAGATGGGATATATTCTCGAAAACGTTATTTCTCATGCGGGACAGATGGTTACGGCGAAATGTAAGAGAGGTTATACCACTAGGAAGGGGAGGAATGTAGTTCATTTTTTTGCCATGTCCCTCACATACTGCTTCGTTATTCCGACATACACAAAGAACAGGACATGAAATATCAACCAGTATGGACGAAAAACTCACTTGTAGAACAAGTAATAAAACAAGACAAAGCCTCATATCCAACCACATCGTGAAGCAAGAATTTTTGATTTATTTAAGCTATTTTTGACAAAGTATTTTTGAAATACTTTTAACAGGAAATATTTGCGTTTCCATATTCCGTATAATAGTTTCCGTGTCTTCAACAACATGTACAGTTCTTTTCTTATTGACATGCTTATAAAGATCATTATGAATGAATGTTTAAAAGGAGCTTGGACACTTATTCGAAGCTAATGATTTTTGAAAAATATTCAACGTACTATTAAAGCATTTCACTCCCAATTATGATAAGAAACTTATTGGGAAATTACTAGGAGTATTAAAACGAATTCCGGGAAACGTCAATGTCAACCGAATAGTAATTCAATGGCGAAAAAAATCAAAGTAGTTTCCTCTTTTTTCTTTAGTACTCTACTTTACGTAAGTGGATTTAAATGTGTAGTAATTTTTTTTTTCATATTATGTAACGATACTCTTCCAGATTCTGATAACTTCACCAGTCCTTATACTCGATCCAAAGTCACCATTCTCTCTCTCTCTCTTAAAAGTATCAGATAGATGTTGAAATCTTGCATTTAGCAATTTAGGGACAATATAATGAAAATCATTTCTCCTTCTGCCTGAAATAATTCAGAAGTAAAAAAGGAGCTTTTTTATTTCTAGCTTTGGAAGTACTATAGAGCAAATTATTCGACAAATAGTGCAAATCAGTTGTATAGACACTAAAACACTCGAAAGAACATTTACAAACTTTAAAATCGCAAAGACAAAAACCATATACATTATATTCGAACCTACGATTTTTCTTCACATTTCCCGCAATAAAATCAAGTTCAGGCTGTTATGACATCCTAGGCAATGCTTTTTCAAAACAAACAAAAAGAAGAAGAGTTTCCCCACCTTGTCTTTTGTCATCAGCAAATTTCTTTTTCTAAAATATTTCAGTTGTGTACATATGTAGGCTGAAGTTAATATTGAAAAGATGCTTGAATTTCTGGACTTTTTTTTATCTTGGGTGTGGTTGTAAAGTGTCGAACAGGCTTGCGTCTTAACTTAATTGTGGTAGAATTTTGTGATTTTTTTTATATTCACATCTGATCATCATTCATTCTCGAACGTTGGCCTATTGCAAAACAGCGCTAAAGCTTATCCTTTACTGTTGTTTTAAATATTTTTGTGAGGAGTAAGGAAAAAAAGCTTTGAAGGACTCACTGTAACATCTTTATTTGTAAGGATTCTTATCCACTATGGGCATGGTGATTCGAATTCAATTTGGTAGGTGGGAATTTGAGAGAAAATTTATACTGACGCACAATTTTTAAGAACGTTTGAATTGTAGATAAAGTCGTGCTTGCTGAAACAAAAATAATATCAAACTGAAAGGCCTTACAGCATACATGTAATTGCCTTACTTTGCAATGAGAAGAGGAAATCAACTGAACATGTACGTATCCCATTTAAAAAAAAGATTTTCAAATATGGGTAATGTTGAAAGAAGTTTAATCCCATTTGAGATTATACAATCTATTTTCCATATACAGGAAAGTCAAGAAGAAACTTTTAGAAATACACTGAGCTTTATAAAGAAATTTAGATGCACAAGCTAATTTAATTAGAAACTCAGAAAAGGTATACAACCAATAAGCTGTGATAACTATACAAAAAAACGTGGGGAACTAGCACTGATTTGTAATCAAATGACTAATTAATTTTCCCTAGAACAATGTATGCAAACAAATTTTTAGCAACACTTTTTAGAGTTAAAATAATTGAAAACAGAAAAAATAATTGTACATGTGTATTTAAGTTGCAATTGCTGCCACTAGTCTGTTCCAAAACATTTCCTTCTCTGGTTTTTCGTTGGTCCACTCTATGAAGGTGATTGTTTTCAGAAGAACATGCAAGAAATTGGTCAATGTTTTTTTTGTCAGGGTATTTTCCAGAATAATCCCAATCACAGTATCTTTTCCAACATGGTTTCAAATAAACACCGATGACTCCGTGTAAAGCTGTTTGAACGTATGATAAGAACTTTTCGACTTTTGTGCAAAGCATCGGTTAATTTGTCTACGATAGGTTTGCAAACTAGGAAATCTCTGTCGTGTTTACATAGTTTTATTTTTTCTCCCTTTTCAAGCTAAGGAATTATTTCCGAAATAACCCAAACCCTATCTTCCGAAATGTAGGTTTCGAACACTTCATACGCAAAATCCAGTACATACTGGTAAATAGCTTGAATATGAAATTGTTTTAAAATTAAGATTTAATGGCGGATATCACTCTTTTCCAAAACATTTCCTTCCCTGATTTTTCGTTTGTCCACTCTATAAAAGTGGTTGTCTTCAGCAGAACATGCAAGGAATTGGTCATGTTTTTTGTGAGGATATTCTCCAGAATAATAACGATGACCATCTCTTTTTCCTTATTTATCGTCCGCAATTGTGCCAGCATGGTTTCGAATCGACACCAATGGCTCTGTGCAAAGCTGTTAGACAATATGATTAGAATTTTTCGGCTTCTGTGCATGGTGTCAGTTATATTATCTACGATAAGTTTTCCCACTTGAAAATCTCTATCATGTAGACAAAGTTTGAATTTTTCTTCTCTCTCCAGTTTTGGTACAATCTCTGAAATCATCCATACTCTGTCATCAGAATTATAAGCTACAAAAACATCATAGGCAAATTCATCACCTCCTAATATTTCATAACCTCGTCTTTTGGCGCGTAAAATGTACAAATAATATTTGATATGCCAGCGCTTTTGGTATATTACACAGGTTACTATTATAATCACAAGCATCGCAAACGATATGGCAATTGCAACAACAAAGTAGGGGTTCAGGGGATGACAAAACGAGTAACTCAACCGAAAATCTGCAAGATCCTTTCCAATCCACTCCTGTGGAAGATTACACTTATAACTATTCGGCCAGCCTAACAGTTTGTTAGAATTGGTGTCAATCCATCTTCGAAACCAAAATAGATCACATGTACACAAGAAAGGATTACCTCTTAGCCCTATGTTTTCTACATAGGATGGAAGGTTTGTATTGTTTAAAGGTTGTTATAAGATTGTTGTCTAACAAAAGGGTTTTTAACGAAACTGATGCAAAAGGTTGTAACTGCAATTGATTGAAAAAAACAGTGTTGTAAATCGATTTCCGTTAAGTTTGGCATCAAAGAAAAGAGATGTTGTGGAAAAGTTGACAGAGAAGTCTTTGCTAAAATCAATTTTTCAAGCTTGATAAGAGGTCGAAAAAGCAAATATAATTTCCTCATGTTCCTTCTAGGGTGAATGGAAGAGTTAAGCTGTATTCCAGTCATATCCAATACTTTCAAATTAGGGTAATGCTGAAAGAAATTTCCACTCCATGTTCGAATATTATTTATTCTATTTGCCATGTACAGGTAGGTCAACGAGGAGCTATTAAAGGAATATTCGTTAAATGTCACGTCAGGATCACGACTTTCAATGGACTAGTACACAAGTCTTGATAAACCACGAATCGGGTTTTTAGGTATTGTTTTAAGTTTGTTATATCCAAGATGCAAACGTTGAAGATTTGGAAAACATTTATTCTGGAAATCATTACTGTATACAACAGGTAAAAGATTATCACTCAGATCAAGCACTTTAAGTTTTGGAAAACTTGGCCTGCGGTTGTGACAAAATTCTGGGACTTCCCTCATCTGGTTACTCTTCAAAATAAGAACTTCCAAGTCTGACCTCTCCACATTGAATTTTACAAATGAAATGTCATTGTTCTTTAATGAAATCAACTGTATTTGTTTAGGTAATGAAAATAAATTCCCGCTTAAGTTGTAAAGCACGTTGTCATCTAAGAAAATCTTCTGTATAGCTGTCAGGTGTAAGAAAAAGCGATCTGCTAAATTTGATATGTGTAACTGAGTCAGAGGAAGTTCTTCTAATGTGCTGTTTCTTAAACCGAATAAAGCCTTTTTAAGATATTTATTATGCATTTTATTACCACTGAGATCGAGATACCGTAGATGAGGCAACGCTTGGAAAGTACGTTTATATATCTGACGAATATGATTACTTCTTAAAACAAGTTTCTTTAGATACAGATAGGAAATATTCTGAAATATATTTTCCTGCATGATGAGTAGATAGTTATGACTGAATCTAAGTTCAGTTATATTCCTTGGAAGAGGAGGTATGTACCATAACTGTCTGTAATGTTCTTTGCAAACTGCAACATTTTTCTGACACACACATACATTGGGGCATGAAATATTCCCGAGTCTAAGAGCAGAACTTACTTGAAGTATAAACAAAATCCAAAACATTCTGATCATGTGGATCGTACCACTGTCCTGTTTTGCAAACCTTTGGTAACAGTTTATTTTATACAGTCTACAGGGAAATTAAAAAATTTCCTTATAAACAATGGGTTTAAAGAGCCATTGTCTAAAGATCATTTTAACAATATAATACTTTATATATCATTTAAATAGTACTGAGTATATATTATATATAACTAATTCTTCTACTTGTGATACATGTATTGATTCTGGATAAGTTCGAAATATATCAAGATATTGATGTACTTTTTTAACATATCATTTGGTTTAGTTGTTATAGAATATGTCTACCAAATTCGGATGAATGAAATGAAATTAAATATGATACATGTATTGATTAAAAAAATGATTTATAACACACGCCCGCTAACTTTTCTAAAAACCCTCGCATATATGTGTTAAATTCAAATTCAACAATTCCTGTCTTTCCCCCTGAACTATTAATTTTATGAGAGTAAGAAAAAAAGCCCAATTTTTACATGATCGAGTTATTCACGTTTATCATTGTTTAAAACTTCATGATAAATAGTGTCCTCTACAAAAATTTGAAATTTTCAATTAAAATTTGTCTTTAATGATTACACCAACCCGATCAACACTCGGGCCGTGCTAAAATAAGACCCCACTGGAAAACGTGAACGGCTTATTGCTCGCTTGAAGAACTTCTCTTGGAGTGCTCGCTTGAAGAACTTCTCTTGGAGTTCCCTGACGATCCGGAATGCCCAAAGATTCCGTCAGCTTTCCTGACGATCCGGCCCAAAGATTCTGTCAGCCACGATTTGCGTTCTTTTCCAGCTATGAGTCTTATTATACAGGTTCAAGACAAACTCCGAACGGCGTTTTAACTTTTAATATGGAACTGACAAATTTTGATACAGGTCGGTGTGCTCGGGACGGCGGTCCGATTCCGACTGACTATCCAAAACAATTTCAACAGTATATATAACAATTATGATGTGACATGTGTAAAAATGACATTTGGAGATAAATAGATAAAAAGTTTTGA